TCAGGAGCCACACCACACATTTTTCCTGGCCAGCAGAATTGCCCACTGTGGTCTTGCTGTCATTACTGTGCTGCTCGGGGGCTTGTTAGGCCAAATTAGGGGTGCCGTTTGAAAAATGAGCTTTGAATGAGACTGCTGGTTAAATAAAGATGTTTGTTTAGGCTTATCTACTGAATCAGAGGTAGAAGCACAGTGTGAGATATGAGTGTGATGGAATTTCGGCCATTCATTTACATTCAGCCTCATCCATTCAGCACCTTTGTGCTCATCACCACCTCTTGAGTTTGACCTTGATCAGGCATCCTCTTGTCATCCCCTGTTGTGTGGTGTTACGTCTTGCCTCTTTTTTTATTTTTTCCCTCAGCGTTCTCACCAGAGCACAGAAGCCCTGTCTCCTTTATTCCCTCCAAGGCTCTATTAAAGATGCACATTTCATATGGTATCACCACCTGTGATTCCCCCCCTCTATAATATCACTGCCAGCCATATGATTCTCTTTACTTTCACTATTTTCCATATTTCCTGCATCTTATCGGTGGAAAGTGACAGTGTTATTTACAATCCCTTAGCTCAGGATTTGCAGATAGGGAGAACGGCGGTTGGAGATCATATCAGAACGTGGCCATGGTAGTCTGCATGTATATGGCTTCATCTGCAGAACCTCATCTGCAGTCAGCGCAGAGAGAGAGCACTGACGAGGCAGCGTAAGTGAGCGGAGGGGGCAAGATGCAACACACGGGACAATGCTCTGGGATTGGAAAAAAAAAATAATGAACTGACAAGATAGAAGAAAAAGAAAGACAGAGAATGACCCCTGATGACGGCGAGAAGAAGGCAGACAGAGAGAGATGGTTATGAGTTGTGCTAATGATGAGAGTCTCTATTCAGCTCTCAGAGGAGGCGCAGCCTTGGGCACGACCAGACGGCCATATTTTTGCAGCTGTTTCTCTGGTCTGACCTGCAACCCCTCAGCGGAGGAATACAGGGGATATGTGTGAACCTGCTGCTTGCCTGCCTGCTGAGGGGGTAATTTCTACATCTGGATGGGGGGCAAAGGTTAGCTCTGGCCGGTGGGAGGGCAAATGAGTGAGTCAGAGCTGGAGAAAAATCTTGCATCCAGACAAATGGAGCATATCTCCTTTCAGTGCTGTATTATATAGTGTGGCATTATCCTTCTCCTGCCTTCAGCGTCAAGAGTAATACAAAACATCAATGACAGCACATAGAGGAGATTTGGTATGTTTTGTCAAGTGACATATATATTGTCTCTCTTCTCTAAGGGCGGAATTGAAAATGGTGGTATTGTAATAGCACTCTGCCGGATGAAGCGCAAAAAAAAAAAACACTCGAATGAAATGATATTATAGCTTGGAGCTACCTCTTTACAGCTCTCCCAGTTTGTGTGTGCATGGTTTATTTTCTAATCAGAGTGTGGGTAGAAGGTGGTAGGTTTGGGTGCCGGGGTATGGCCTCGGGCCTCTCGCTGTTGTAATCTCTCTGTGTGTTTCTTAGCCTCTGACCCGGGAGAATATCTATGAAAGCACTGAGGGTCTGTTCTGCAGTAAATAGGGAGAGAAAAGTAATAACAACCACACAAATATACACAAACATTCGCATTTGCAGTATTACAAAAAGATACCAAGCCCTGCAGCTTTTAAGAAATGCTTCACAGTTTGTCAGGTTTGTGTGTAGCGTGTAGTGTGTGTGTATACGTGTGTGTATTTGTGTGTGGTGAACGTCCATCAAAGTGATGTGAATGTCAAAACCAGGGGAAAAAAATGGGTTTTAGACATCTGTGGTGTTGTGGCAGTGAGCGCAACCTTTGTGAACCAAAGCGAGGTGCGCTCCTGTAGGTGAATGTGTTTGTCAGCACTTATCTCAGTATGCAGGCTGGACGTTTCAGTCAAGGCTCCCCACTAATCTTTCCGACAAGCAGTGTCACCCTCCAGTGAGTAATATCTTGGGTGGGAGAGGAGGGCGCACTGTACAAAATATTTGTCCTCATCCCGTCCTTGCCCTGCCACCTCTGTGCCGTGATGCTGGGTGTTTTGGGCTGTCATGTGTCTGCGTCCAGCTGATTTTTTTTTCATGCGCAGAGTGTGTCTTTGGTAAAAACCCACACCCACATACAGACCTTCCTAATGGTTGCTGGCACAGGCCTCTCCTGCCAATGTAGGACAGTCTGCTTTACAAAGTAACTGCGTGGGTGTCTCCTTTGTGTTTTTGTTTTGGCATGGACCTCCACCCTGAACCCCTTGGCTGTTTCACAGTACAAGCTACAACCTGACTCCCTCCCCTTTAAGTTTGCAGCGTTGAAACGGTGCCAGCTGAAAGAGCTGCAAATTTGCCATGCTTTGCCCCCTGCCTGATGCTCCTTCATTCAAATCAGCCCGCTCCTCAGATATTTAGGAAATATATAAATAAGTAAAATACGAGAGGCAGAGGCATATTAATATTTTTCAGACATGGGTTCTTTTTAGCCCGCAGCCGGATTGACAGATGTAGCACTTGCCAACAGAGGGGTGTACATGTAAAAAATATATAAATATTAATAAGCGAGTGAGCAAGACGGCAGAGTTTGCGGCCCGCTGGAACTCCATGGGAGGTGAGATGTTTTCGGTGGAAGAAGAGCCGAATGTTTCAGGGGGATAGAAATGCAATTACCTTACGTCTGTTGGCTGATTCGGGCTTAAATGCCTACAGGGCCTCAGAGTTGGAGCCAGAGTTCAGCTTCTTGACAGCAGATACGCAGACCCACTTAATGATACACTCGTATCAGATGCGTCTCACATAGATTAACAGGGAAAACAGTCAAGTTATGATGCTAATATAAAAGCTTTCACTTGCAAAGTATAATTCTGACCGTGGAGGTGCCTGTAGGCAAATGTGTAACCGAGGAAGAGAGACATGCTCGTACTGTAATGAAGCAGGACAAACATTACAAGCAGAGGGTGGATATTTGTGCCATGGCTGTGCTTCAGTTGTAAGATGATGACCCGGATGACTTTGGTCTTGTACTTAGAATCAGATAGTGTAATAAGATGCATTTGGTTCAACCCCCTCTTCACATTTGCTTACTCGGTGCATCCAGTAAGTGTCGTCTTGGTATCAGATAGCCCTGAACCTACACACCACCATAATCCTCTCACCAGTGCTCTGTCTGTTTATTTGCTTGTAGCTGTTTGTAACCTACTGTTTATCCTGTCCTCAACAAGTATGTGTGCGTTTGCTGGGGTGTGTGACGACTCTGTTTTTATTTATTTATTTTTGTTCCTATTTTTTTTGTTGTGTGTGTGTGTCCGTGTATTTATTTAGATTGCAGGGTAGGGATGCGTTTACTGTGACGCACTGTGTGCAGTATTAGATTAGATTAGACAGCGTGGCACAAGCACCGTAATGATGCACCTAATGCGTGTTTCTTTTGTCACTGTTCTGTTTCAAAGGAAATTGATTCTGACAAAAATCCCATGGGTGCTATCAGCAGTGAATGGAAAGGAGCAATTAAATCCAACGTGATCTTGAAAACAACAGCCCGTGTATGGTCCAAACCATGCTATGATTTTAAGCAGCAGGACATCTGTTTGTAATGCAAATACAGAGCCCAGTGGTGGTGGCTGTTATGCCCACCCTGGCTAGGGGGTCCGGCACACTGGAGCTGGCTAATTACCTTAGCTCTTTAGATTAGAGGGCAGTCCTGCATAAGAGAGAGAAAATCTCTATCTCTACCTCTCCTGTATTCTCCCCTATTACCCCCGCGCAAAGGTTTCATTTGAATTCATGTCACACAAAAGTCCCACTCCATACCCCCATGCATGCCCAGGATAATTGGGTTGAAAGCTTCCTCTCTTCCTCCACTCTGCCTCCCCTTGGTCTAAATAAATAAATAAGAAGACAATGGCTATGTGGCTTTCTGTAAAGAGGGTAAAAAGAGCGAATGAAGAGATGAGAGAAGCCTGCAGCGCCGGGACCAGTTATCCCCTCTTATAATCCCGGCCTTCGTTGCCATTGTCCCCTGTGCCACATGGAATTTACATAAGGACCTGTGGTGCTGGCCTTAATTTAGCCCTCCTCAAGCATCTTCAAATATCCCCCAACAAGCTCAGTCCTTTTATCCATCAGAGGAATCATGTGTCCCTCGCTGCTGCATTGATGGACACACTGCTGAAACTGAAATACCTAAAGTGCTACTCCACGGATTAGATTTATTGTAGATTAAATGGAGAGAAATCTGTTTGAGCACCACAGCAGGGGAGCTTGAGAAACCCCCCAGCTTACACCTTTAAACCCTTTTTTTGCCTACATTAGGTGTTTGGTTTTTTTCATGTTCGCTCATTGGTATGTAAGTTATATCTTGTTCTTAATACGCCGTGAACTCAGGGTTTAATTTCTTACAGTCAGCTTGGTGTGTTTGTAATTTGCATTTTGTGTGCTCATTGGTGTGTTTCTGTTTGACAGCGGCTCTCCTTGTTTGATAATGAGCTGGCGTTGTATGTTTCACTGAACACTATGCGGGGCGAGAGGCTATCTGTGTGATAAAAGGCCTACCTGAGGGTGATTAGACACAAGGCCACAGTTGTTCACCAGACCACCCGCTGTTGTTGTTTTTTTTTTTTTCTTTCCACCCATGTTAGCACGTATCTGGTTGTGTGTAACAGTGTATGCGTACATGGCACCAAAGTGTAGCAGCGTTGCACCCCTGTGAGCTCTCACAAGTGAATGACACCAGGCTTCAGGGCATTCTGACTCTGTTTGTTCTGCTACCTCCACAGGGACCTCCATTAGCTCCAATTAGCTTTCACTTGCGCTTGCCCAGACAGATGAACCCGTACATCCCATTTCAATAGCCTCAATAAATGATGCATACATTCATACTGCGTTGTTCACACAGCGTACTGCATAAGAAGACGTTTTAAAAATGATCAACATTTACTCATTTAAATTCAGCCATGTGGCGTACTCAGAAACTCTTCCTAATCGGTTTCCTCGTTTTTATCCCTCAGTGCTGCGAGATGACTTCAGACAGAACCCAACAGATGTGGTGGTGGCGGCAGGAGAGCCAGCGATCCTTGAGTGCGTCCCTCCCAGAGGTCATCCCGAACCCACCATCTACTGGAAGAAGGACAAAGTGCGGATCGATGACAAGGATGACAGGATCACCGTGAGTGTCATTAGTTGTTTTGCGCTTTTCATGTTTTTACTCACTGTGATCTCATTTTTCACTGAAATATAAAATTCTGCATCTCTGTGGAAACAACACAACCATGACTAGGAGTACAGAAAAGTGAAGAAATGTTTGGTGTGCATCATCACACAGTTATAATTTGAAATACTTTGCTTATTTATTTTACAAAAATAGAAAAAAAATCTGTGATCAACATTTGTTAGGTGCTTGTGTGCATGAAAGAGAAAAAGTGGAGCAAACTTGAAGCCAAGTGGAAACTTAAAATGTATAATTTGTAAAAAAAAAAAAAAATAATAATAATAATAAGGAAATGTTTTTCTTTCTATAGATTCGAGGAGGGAAGCTGATGATCTCCAACACAAGAAAGAGTGACGCTGGCATGTACATCTGTGTGGGAACCAACATGGTCGGAGAAAGGGACAGCGAGACGGCACAAGTTACAGTGTTTGGTAAGCTTTGTTTCTCCAGGTCTCCTAAAACTGATTTCCACTCAGCGATTTTGCAGAATGACGTCCATCTATGTTACTGTATATCCTCAGGAAATACTGGGAATACTTTGAGGCCAAGTGTTCTCATGATTGAATATGATTATGCTTTTTGCCACACACTGCCCACTGATATTTGAAGTTCGCCATTAAGCTATAATGAGGTTAAACAGAGTCTGAGTGAAATATAATGGATGGGATTAAATACGCCTCAGTTCTTTTATTGCCAAACAGTTACGGGTTCATTTGGTGCCTTAGAGCTATTGATATATTTCTTTGCCTACGTAATGATCACAAAGAGAACAGACTATACAACATGCTAATGAACAGCATGTGAGTGATTAGGGGGGAACTTTTGGTAGGGAGAGGCCTTTGTGAGGAATAGTGCATGCACTGCTACTTACAGCCAAAAAACTGGCACACTAACATTATGTATTTCTGTTTCCACCCTGCAGAGCGACCAACCTTCCTCCGGAGGCCCATCAACCAGGTGGTGCTGGAAGAGGAGACGGTGGAGTTCCGCTGCCAGGTACAAGGAGACCCCCAACCCAATGTACGCTGGAGGAAAGACGACATTGATGTTCCTCGTGGGAGGTATGTACTTTGACTATTATATGCTTTGAGTATTCTCCAAATGGTTCTGTTTCGAGGAAAGAAAGTTTCATAAAACAGCGATGAGATGGTTTTTCCTCTTTCCTCTATGTTGAATATGAGCAGCCGGTTTAAAGCGTGAGTGTGCCGCTGCATGCCAATCTGTGTTAAGTACCGGGTGTGACAGACTGCACCTAATGCAAAGGCGTTGTAAAGGCACTGATGTCAGTCAGAGTGACTGTTTCAAACTAATGATAACTCGCACTGCCAGTTCTCACCTGGTGTGGCTGCCAGGAGCCAGTAAATACCCCTATTAGGCTATACATAATGCGCATTACACATTCGGCTAAAAATTACTTTACCCGTGGTTGCCCCAGAAGTCAGCGATAGTCCGTGTCTCGTGTCAAGGAAGGGGTCTGCATGAAGACAAACAGAAACTGAACTAGACAATTAAATGTGAGTGACAGGTAAGTGGGCAGGGAGGCCGAAAAGTAGACATGTAGAGGAGCAGAAGAAATCTGCCACGTTGTAAAGCAGACAGGTAGAGACAGAGACAGATACGATGACAGGAGATACAAAGAGACAGAGTATAGCAGCTGACGTGACCCTCGAGTGTCTGTGTACAGGTGCAGCTGTTCAGAGAAATACTTGGCACAGACGCCTCAGAAACCTGGAAGATAATCACTACCTTCTATACGCATTTAACCCCGTTCAGTCTGTGTATCCTCACAGACATGACACATGCTTTCAGCCACATTTACAAAAACAGAAACTGATGTAAGAAAAAAGCAATAAAAGTCTGTAATTTGCTGAGAAAATGCGAGCACCACTGCCAACTACAGGCTGTCTAACTTCCTGTAAAAAAAGCCACTGATGATATAGTGATACTGTTCTCATTGGGTCCTGCGTGTCGGCCTATTGCTTCACTGTGACTCACTTGACTCGCAGTCAACAGCGGTGTCATTGTCAGGAGTGGACTTCAAAGAGACCAGTGTTCTGTCCCCAGCCAGCAGGCCAGTCACACACTGCTTGGATCACCTCATAAAACATACACTCAGTGGACCTGACATCTCTCAAGGCTAGCTGCAGAGCCGAGTGTAGGCGGGTTGTTTGTGTCTGATAAGGATTTGGTTCACTGGGCAGTGGGACATGAGCGCCGTGCCAAAGCAAACACATAAAAGTATTTCACTCATGTCTTTGATAGGGAGTTGGCTCTGGAAATGAGTTCATTTTGTACACTAATTAACAGATTTATAGCCGAGTAGGATGAGTGTCATGTGCCTGCGTCCTTGCTAACTGTATCATCCCTTTGAAGTTTGGCCTTATTTGGATACGGTACACATGAAAAAGATAGTGCCAAAATTAATACACGATAAACATTTCAGTGTTTCTAATTACAATGTAGGAACTTTTGTTTTCCTCGCTATATTTAATTCTCCCAGTTTTGCTTTGAAGCTAAAAAGCAATCGCGAAGACACAGACGATATTTTAATTCTGACACTTTTTTTTTTTTTGCTGCCTTTTTTGCCTGCCAAAAAGAAGAGTCCCTGATATTGTTAAGTGACAATCTGTTCCCGCTTTCTCTACTGCTTATCCTCACTTAACAAACATCAAACAGGGCTTCTCTCTGACTGACGGAGGAATTATTGAAATTCTCCCCAAGAATAGTTTCCAGTTTGATAACTGGCAAGTGCTCTGAAGAAGAAGAGATAAAAACACAGCCATCGTGGCTTCACACGTTGGGCCTCTCCAGCTGTACTAGTAGTGATCGACACTATAGGAGCAAAAGATGACTGAAGATCAAGCGGTTCCTTATGCAGTGGTTAGTGGTCTTTGTTTGCTTTTTATCTGAAAAGGTTACACTGTCCTTATTATTATGATAAGCCATAGAAAGGGAGAGACTTAACAGGACCTCACCTCTTTACCATCAAATTGTTTCAACTTGTCTTTGCTGGCCCTTTTACATGCCCGTGTCTCTCTGTGGATGTCTGTGTGTGCTACTTTTATACTAGGAAGAAGGGAAATGGAGCCTCAGCTGAGTAAACAGGTTGTTAATATGCTCAGCGGCTCCAGCAGCCTCTCAGGCAAACACACTGGCACATAGACATAAAGCACGCCAGAATGGCACTGGCTTCAGTCTCTGTGGGATAGAAGAGGAGATAGAGACAGAACAAGAGTGGTTTCAATCAGAGGACAAAGACAATGGTTCTGCTCATTTACCTCTGTGTCAGTATTTTTCTATATTTGTATAAAAACTAAATCACCAAGAATCATATCTACTCTATGATACTTGTCAAAAGGCTTTCATACAGCAGTCTAATGAAATAGGTCAAATCCATTTTTTTTTTCAGTGTACATTATGATGAGAAATCTCTTGAGAGATCCCTGTGAAACCATTAAAATTACAGTCTGGCACATGTCAGAGTAAATAGCTTGAAACTGTAAATTAAAATGTCAGTTAACAGCAGGTTCACTGCAATGATACAGAGTTCAGACACTCTGTTATCAGCTAAGGAAACATTTGCATCGACTCTTGACTTTATTCTAAATCAGAAACGATTTAGGTTAAGTGTCAATCATGTTTCCGTTTGCAGACTTTGCAGTATCGCCACATAAATTTGCCCCAAAATGTACATAAACCCAGACAGAATTAATACTCCTGGGGGAGCAGATGGTTGCAAAACTTGTCTTTTTAGTATATACTTCGCCCAATGCCAAATTGCAGGGTCGGATTTTTTAATCGACAAAAATCTAAAGTTCAAATTAGGGATGTGTGTTGAAATACTGAAAAACATACTTGTTATCAGAGCAGGAGGAAAAAATCACACACTCCAGGCAGGATAAAAATTACTGGACAGCCCGTGTAATATTAAAGTCACCCAACCTCCCTTTTATAAATCTGGTTTGAATTGGGCTCATTTTTTTCACCCGTATGCATAAGATTAGATTCAGATGCTAACAGTGTTTCTCTCTCAGGGAAAACCTTCAGAACATTAAGCAACCGGATTGCAGCGTTTATCTCAAAATGCTGCAACATTCTTCCAAGCATCAGCATATCTACAGCGCTCTCCCATAATGTGGCTGAAAATTAACATCCACCATATTTGTTTGCTTAATTTTTATCCGATCACTTATTTGTGAAATTGTCTTAAAGTGGAAAAATATCAGTATCAGATTAATATCCGTCTGTCGAGCATGTCTGCAGAATCTCGGGGAAAGCACACGATGGCTGCTCCTACATCAGAGAGCCAGGAGAGGAATGCTGGAGAACTCTCAAAATGGAAGAGATTCTGCTGCAATCTATGAACTCCAATGAAAAGACTTGGGCAGAGCATATTATCTCCCGCTGCCTACTCGCTCAGTGTGTGGCCCACGTGTTCCCTCCTTTGGTTTTTGCGGTCGCTCCTTATTTGCTGTGGAACCTTGTGCCCTCTCCTGTGCCTTATCAGAGCCCCTTTGGTCTTGCAGTCCATCTGTATTCAGGCCCCCTGTCCCTGTTGACCTCCACAGCGCAGCCCCCTGCAACATTCAGCAGAAAGGCCTTTCTTTCTGACTCAATTCCTTGGTGTGTGTGTGTGTGTGTGTGTGTGTGTGTGTGTGTGTGTGTGTGTGTGTGTGTGTGTGTGCAGTGTGGGTTTGTGTATGATAGAGGTGTGTGCGGGTCATTCTATTTGAGAGAGCTGTTAAAGCTAGTGTGACAGGAGCGCCTGTGTTATGCTGACCGTCCAGTTTCAGTGATTTCTCACCTCTGCAACTCAGCAGAATGAAATGACGGCAGGCTATGGTTCCTGTCTCCATTACTTCCCTTGATATATAAGTGGATACATCTGGTATTTATGAGTGCATGTGTAAGGGGGGCTGTTGGCAGTAGGACGGTGGGGAGTGTACTTACCTTTAGGGTTTATTGACACTGATTGTGTCAACAACAAAGTAAGGTGAATGAAATAATAATCAGCTGTCATTCATGCAGAATATAAGTACAATAATGTGGCGTTCGTTAGGAAGATGTGCAGCTCTTCATTCATTATGCATCACTACTTTTCATTTATCTTCATGGAATCAAGAAGCAATACCTCCCTGCTGCTTGGAAACCACAAATATCTATACATTCAACTTTCTCTTTGCTAAATGCATTTGTGCATTTCTTCACATACAACACATACACAAACATTCACAGTGACAAAGAGTGAATATGGCTTCCAGGCTTTGGTCCATGAGTTCTGCTTCACTTTGTGTTTTTTCTCTTTTTGCAACATTTTCCTGTAAAACCATGATGTCCGCTCCAAACCACTTTGACTAATGCTAGGCTCAGACTACAGCAGTTTGAAAATCCGCACAGATTTTGAAATCGGGTTTGCATTGAACACATAAGCAGAAACTTTCACAGATATTCTTTCCTCTAATCTGAGACATGCACACACTGCAAGATTTGATAATAACGGTACATCACACACCACAGGATATTAAGATTATCGTGCCAGAGGGAGCAGCCAGGGAGCAGCGCACCACCTCACTTGATCTCATGGAGAAGCGAGTGTAAACAAAATAGAGAACTTACTGTAACACTAATATATACTTTGCAGTGAGAAACAAACAACAGTATAGAGCTAAACAAGCCTGGATGAGAGAATGGCACGGGATATGTGGTCAGCATTAGTTGTGTGTTCTTCAGTGAGGACTGGTGGTTTAATTTAACTAATATTTGTAGCTCATGTCAACTTCAAAGGCTAGAATATTGGAACCTTTCCTCTGTTCTGGGCTGTAATGTAGAAAGAAGAACACTGCAGATTTTCACTCCTAAATGTCAGAGATGATCGATATTAACTGGGTTGGCCCCACAAAGTCTGTGAGCAGTTCAGGAGGTTTAAGACTGGGTCTGTAAACCCTTCACATTACCAACTAATCTGGTCCAAACATTGGTTCAGACCAAGATCCCACACTGGATTTCGTCTTCGATTGTTTGCGAGGGGTGAAACGGGGATAAATTGGCTCAGAAGTCCTGTAGTATGAGCCCAGCATAAGTAAAGACTGTGCTGTTGCCCCCATTACTGTGGCACTGAGGAGAAGTAACTCTTCTAAAAAAAAAAAAAGAAAAAAGAAAAAAGGCTGGGATCAATTTTTCCCCACAAACTGCCAACCTCACAACCTCATAAAAGTTGCAATCATGCCAGCTCTTTTGTGATTATTTGTACGATGAGTTGATGATTGTCAGTTGGGCTGTTGTGAAGGCCGTGATCCCGCATGAGAGGTGCCAAGGACCAGAGGGAGGGGAGATCTGGCGAAGGGCCTTACAGAAGCGAGATGAGAAGCGATAGTGGCTAATTGATTCCCTCTTGTGGGTGACAAGGCCTGGACAGGTAGACTCCAACTCCTTTGATCAGGATGAGGTGAAGTAGCAGTCAGATGGTGTGAAACTGGATCAGACTGTCAGAATGAAATGGAGCAGAGAGGGGACTTTGTGTCGGAGCAGTCAGGCCAGAGAGCAAGCTGGAATGAGTCCTTTACTGTATCCTGAGGCTGACTCATGCGCTCAGAATTGGCACACAACCCTTCAGTCGACCACCAGACTCCTTCACATGTACTCACAGAGACGAGGCAGATAAGATCCTCTAGTGTTGAGTCATTTCGTAGACACACTCACGTAACTAAGAGATAAGATTCTCTTAATGCGACTGAATTGGCACGAGTCTGAGGGTCGAACACGGGTGACTGTGTTTCCTGACAGACAGTTTAAAGACAAATCCTCTAAGATGATCTGGAGGATTTTGCGAGATGTAATGCTTTTTAAGTGTGTCCAGTAAAGTTTTCATCTCTGCGCAGCCTTCTCTGTGCAGCAAACACATGAAGAAGAAATGCGGCTTTGTTTTGGCGTTTGCTTACATTCCCATCACTCCTCATCTCCCTGCATGACTGAATGACTCTGCATATGTGTGGATATGTGTCGGGTGATTGTATACTTTGTTCTCTGTGCGAGTGTGTGCTTGTGTACAGTGTTCCTTCTCTGGTTGAAAATGAGTTAGAGTCCGGCAGGGTGAACTTGGCTCTCCTGTCCTTTCCACAGCCTTTCTACATGTGCAATTACATTCCTCCTCTAATGGAGAACAGAGCTCTCCCCCAATCCACTCGCAATAAAGAGCTACTGTTCCCTTGCTGTGTGTGCTTACATGTGTGTGTGGCCACAACCGCCTCTTATCCCTGAGTATTTCCACTCATCTTGTCATCTGGGCTGATTCCATATGGGAAGTTGATTACAGATTGATTGGGCTCATGTCCCTCTAATAAGTCATGGAGCAGCCTGAGGTTCTGATTTGAGAGACTGGTGGAGACCGGAGCAGGAACAATAAGAATGTTGTCCAGTATGAGCATACCTTGGGTTCTCCACACTGCAAGGGCTCAGTCAAGACTGTGGGAATCTGAATGAGCACTTAAACTGATGGCATTGATATGAATGATATTATATCTGAAGCTTTCGCCAATCTTTAAAGCATATGTGTGGCTCAATATACTGTATGCGATGGTAGTGGTAACGTGGCTCTTGGATAGCGAGGATCCGTCAGATGATGTATTGCCATGAAATTTTAACAATATATTCATGGTCTCCAGAGAATTCTGTTGACTTTGATGATCTTCTGAGGTTGACATATGTCTCAATATTATGCAAAAGATTATGATGAAATTTGGTGTACACATTTATGCGACTGAGAGAATGAAACCTTATGACTTTGACAACCCTTTGGCCTTTTTATCTAGCGCCAGCACCAGGTCTAAAATTTCAGGGAATCTAATACTTTCCTTAATAACTGGATAATTAGCAAATTTCCCTACTGTGGGATTAATAAAAGGCTTATCTTATTTTATTACAAAACTGATGATATTCTGACACACTGTATTTGGTGCTAATTAGCAAATGCTAACATGCTAACACACTAAACTAATCCTGAACATGCCAAATGCTTTACATGTAGATTCTAGCATTGAGTTTAAACTACTGTTGTGCAGCTGCCCAGAGCAGCTGGGGTTGCAGACTTGTCGGCAGATCATCTGTGTGCTGCGTCTGTATTTCTTAAAAAATTTAAGGCTTGACTCTTGTGTGGAGTCTGGAGTAAAAAAAAAAATCCCTAAAACTAAACTGGACTGCAAGTATATTTTCAGTAATGCAATTTGACCGGCGGTAAAATAAGTCAGCGAAATGCTGCAAAAGCCTTGGTTGGCACAGAGCTGGTTAGGCTATGTTGACTGAGAGCACTGGAAGCAATTTATTTCTTCACTTGCTCTCATCATCATTTGTTAGGGAGTCATGGTGTTTCCCATAAGCCCTAACTTGTTGCTGTCACTCTTTTGCTCATCTCCACCCCGTCTTGCAAGTCAGGAGTTCATGCTGAGCTATCTATCCTGTCTGGAGGGCAAAGTATGGAAGGATGCTCCGTCTATTAGCGTGTTTGTTTTTCATCTGACAGCAGGCATGTCCCAAAAGGTGCTGTCTCATTCCTCGGGATGCCACTCACTTGCTTTCAACAATAAATGCTTTATTCTGATCCCCCGCCATTGGTTGAACTGTACATCCCCTCTCTCTAGAACAAAGCATGCAGTCATGACTCAGTCAAATAATCATTATGGCTCCGTAAGTACCTGTGTGGAGAGGTGGAACTGGCATAGTTGAGGAATGTACTTCAATAAAGCTGCCTTTGAGTGCTTGCTCAGGAAATGTCATAACAGCAGGTTAAAAAAAAATAAGACATGGATAGACAGGATAAATTAGGTTCGCAGCTGCCAGTGGCAAACAGCCATCAGTACACCTGATGGTTGAGCTGAGGGGTCTTTCCCACTCAGAGGGAAATGGACCATAGCATACTGTTACCCTAAAGTCACTTCAGAAACTATTGCTGTGGATTTGTTGCCATATCCAATTGTCCAGCAAGCAATCCAGAGTAAACATTATCCTCCTTCACAGTTAAAAGTGTAATTTGTCTTTTTTATTGAATATCAAAAAAAAAAAATCCCTCTAAGAAGCCAAAGCCAAAGATGAATTTATCCCTCTAACAAGTTTCATCTGTGCAGCCAAAGCCTACTATAGCTTATTCCTTTGTGCCATAAAGCTCTATTGTCATCTAAAACCTATTAAAAAGACATAACAGAGTCATACGACTGCTCTGGGTGGTATATTTCTTCATTACAGTGAACATGGTCAGTGTAGTTTGTTCTAAAACAACTCTGTGTTGGCATTTTCAGTCTCTGAATGGTGAGCTGTGTGTTAGGTAGACATCACTGCTCTTGGTTCTTTTATGTGTTTTTAATAGTTGTTGGACTGCAAGTTTGGAATTTTACGGCACATAGGCATACGCTATAATAAAAGGGTAATATAATGTCAGGCTTTTTTCTTTAAAGCCCCTCTGTGCATTTGAAAAATTCTCACTTTGCAGACTCCAAGTAGTAAGATCACAAAGATACCGTGGCAGACTGCAGCACACAGACTGAAAAGCTGTACTTAGACTGCATCAGTGTCAGGATTGTATCGTTTTCCTAATCGTTTAGAATATTCTATAATCACACAGAGAGAGTTTAGAAGAGGCTTTAAAGGGGGCACCATAGTTTCAAGCTCAGAAACAATGGCTCCTTATCTGTTCATCTCAACTGTGCTCTCGGTGTCTGTGATTGACAGACTGTGGACAGCAGAGGGTTGTCAGCCTGACAGACCACCGTCACACAGCACCACCACCGCCCCCCCCACGATCTACTTACACTCTGCCAGACCAGCACCTTCTTCTATTACCGGAACAACAAACTAGATCGGCATCATCTCCCTGTCAGCTTTTATACAGTTCACACCGGCCCGCAAACACACATACACACATATATTTGACTTCAATAATAGAATTGATGTAGGAAAACCTCTGCCTTAGTATAGCTGCTACATTGATTCAGTCAGTTAAAACACCTTACAGCTAGACGGTCACTCTGTATAGATTCATTGCAGCTGTGCATTCATGTAGCAAACACACAGTCGAACACACACACACACACTCTTAAGTATGATTTAAACATATATATATGTATACATACACACACACATGGAGAAACATCTCATGAATATTGTACGGGTTTTGAGCGTTCCAGCTGAATGCATACCTCTCTGTGTGTACTGTGTGTCATTGCTGAATAATTGATCTTCCTCTTTGCAATCTCCATTTGTCAGAGTGAGCAATTGTGCTTCTGTGTTCCTCTCCAAGGGGGGAAGAAAACCTTTAATGTCTGCTGCCAGACAACTCAACAGGCATGGATGAAAACTTGTTGAAGCGAGTTTTGATTTGTTACAGGGTCGTCTGAATTTGCGGTATTTGTGTTTAATGATGAAACTTTGCTTTTTTTTGTTTACAGATATGAGATCAAATACGACAAGGACGACTACGTTCTGAGAGTGAAAAAGGCTTCCATTAATGACGAGGGCACGTTCACCTGTGTGGCAGAAAACCGCGTGGGCAAGCTGGAGGCCTCCGCCACGCTCACAGTCAGAGGTAGGAAACACCTCACACAGCTAACACATAACATCTAGAGGAGTCACGGTCCACTGAGGTTATTGTTCTTGTATACAATATGAGGTTTAGATTGGCACTTCTCTCTCCAGATTTTCTCCTTTACACAAATGGAAATACAGAATGCTGACTCTTGTAGCCAAGAGAGATGTAGACAGTCTATGAATCTGTTTAATTATTTACATTTCCAAGTGCAGCGTCGACACACTCTGTCACCCTCCCCCCCCGCCGTGGTGGTGGTCTGCTAGCTCCACCACCCTCCACGCTGTAACCACCCAGTCAGCAAAGCCATTTCACAGATTACTGGTGCACACCGTCGGTACCACACCTGGGGTTTGCAAGGTTAATAAAAACATTCTAACCATAATTTCCCTTTTTTCACCACTCTTCTTCCCATTAAACCCAAGTGTTTAAGGTCCCTGTGGAGTGCTTTAGAGCAACACAGGGGGCCAGAGGGAGGTAAACCAAGGTCTGCGTCTAATACTCGTTCTACCTTTTTGGAAGCTAGATTTGTGAGAGTAGCATCTTAGTGTGAGGACACACACACAGCAACACAGAGGAGACGCTGGGGAGCCACCACCTGCACCAATTCATCTGTGGGGGTCTTTTTTTTTGACTGCGGTGATTTCACAAGTCTCTGGATGTAACCTACATGCTGACTTAGTCTCCTGAGTCTTTTTTGTCCATCAGCAGTTGTGATAAACACACCTTTGCCTTGCTGTTACAAATACACACCACTCATAGAATTGTAGATTTCATTTATGCAGACAGAGAAGGTCCGGTAGTGCATTTGTCTCCGAAGAGCAAAAAAAATGACAAGCCCCACAATAATTTGAAGGCAAATACAGATTTTTGGCCACCAGTGGGTGCTCACACCAGGCTGCCTGAATCACTCAGGGGTCTGAGAGACAGATGCTTTGAGCTCATCCTCATAACTGTCCAGTGGGCAGTTGGACAGAAGCTACTGGGTCCTCTGTGTCATGCTTACACTGTGCCAGACGTGTGCTGGCTTCAACACAACATGTCATTCATTCTGATTTTGATTTTCCTTTTGTCTTGTTTTGTTATGTTTGTTCTGTTCCTCTTCTGTTGTTTTATATGTTTGTGTGTCTGTGTCTTAATTCGTTTCTTTTGTGTATCCACTCCACCATTGTTGTGTCTCCAGCTCGCCCCGTCGGTAAGTACCCATCCTTCTGATTTGACTCCATCCTGCATGCCTTCTCCATACACACTACTGCGTTTGACTGCTTGACGATCAGCCACCATTGCTTTAACATTACTGTATTTGACTAACTTGGATGTTGCATCAAATTGTCTACTCCTAGCGCTGAGGTTTACAGATCTAATTTTGATGTAGTCTTTGGAGATTTTACAGTTCGACCTCGAATACTAACATGAAAAATGCTGAATGTGGTAAATACTTTGTTTGCAGTCACTTAACAGAACTTGTTGACAAACCTTAAAGGGGAAAACTACATTTTCATTTAGCTTCTGAGATTTATGAGTATTTATATTGAGCCTAGATCACATATATTTGGACAGTTGCTCATTCAATTTTAAATAAAATAATGAATACTTGTATTGAAGTGGCAATTATCAGCTTTGACTTCAATAGGTTCATATCAGCGTTTATAAATATAAGATGCAGCCTCTTTATCACATAATATCCAAAGTTTATGGGATCAAAAATAGTTGGACAAACAACGAAACAAAATGGAAAATCTTTTGCAATCAATGACTGCTTGAAGTTTTCAACCCATACATATAGATACTTAAGTCTGCTTTAGCTTCTGCTTGTTGGAAGATCAGTGTTAACTATTTAAATTTGGAAACTGCAGCTGTCTTTGCAAAGTGCACTTTTTATTTTTATCACTTGAAGTCAAATAGAAATTGATGCACCTGTCAAAGGTTCAAACAACACCTTCTTACAGCACAAGTTTATCAAGTATAGTAACTTAGAGTTACCGCTATCAGTGTTGCTCTAAACTGAAAACTCTTTAGATTCCAGACAGTGTTCTTTACAATGACTGAGTACGCTGGCAGTCTAACAGTCTCAGACATTGTCATCTCATATGGTCCAGGACGTGTTTAACTTGCAAGTCTTGAGGCCATCTGTGGATTTTTGGAACACAGAGCCAAGAGATCTGTTTGTTTTGGATGAGTTTCTTTCCTTCTGAGCCACATAACACAGAGCTGAGAATTTTCATTTTATTTCCATATAGATAGGTATAGGTCAAGGTACAGGCAAATTTGACACACTTAAGATGTTAGATTGTTAGAGGCAGTGAGTGAAAACGGGCTTCTTGAGAGAAAGGTGTGCTGTTAAGAGCAGAAACAGGAGGAATCCAGAAGGACAAAGAGTGGAGAAACATGCAGCAGGACAAAGAATGGAGAAGAAAAGAATGGCAGAAGTGTGTGTCAAGACAGGCTTGAGTGGCAGAAAAAAAACAGACACTGCCTCATTGGCAGGACTTTGGTTGCCAAAACAGCAGTGGCTGTTCTGCGATTGTCAAACTGTCAGATTCCAAGAAGATGGAGGAAATTACACATTCAATCTGCCTGTGGGAAGAGACAGTAATTGCCGTCAACTTTTGAATAAAATATGACTGAACGTGGGACTTTAAGGGCGGAGGAAATGTTTTTGCCTGAGTATACTGAATGGGTCTCTGTCTCTTTGTCCATTTGTTCTTTTCACCCTGACTGCTGTTTTATGCTGAGCCCTCTCCAACCCGGGCAGATGTGACTTGTCATGAATTAAATATGGGCCCCTGATCATGTGTTTCCTTTGGAGGGGACAGGAAGGAGCTTCTCATATGTCATTAAGGTTCTCTGAATTGAAACAGGGCCAGTGTGAGTTAGCCCTGAGCCAAGCTATGAAACTGTCACACTCTGACTTCCTCTTGATTCGTCCGAATTTTTTTGATCTATGCTTCTCAGTGGGCCTCCCTCTTCTTTTTAGGTCAATCCCCATCACATTTCCCCTAAGTATTTTATTCATTTTCAAATATAATTTAAAAGATAGAAAGGGAGATCAAAGTTATGCCACAGGTACAGAATGAGCTCATATTTCATCTTCGGCCACCAGGACAAGCTTAGCAAGCAAGAACGGCTTTTGGTCTTTGTAAGGAAACTCCATTAATCACAGCCAGCTGATAGACACTTTACTCAAATGTAAAGATAAACTTTGAACGGCTATCAGTGGGTCAAACGTGTCAGCACTTGCTTAACCAATGTAAAGGTGTCCCAGTTGCAAGGAAACAAAACAATGCACACTTTTGATTTCTCATTTATTACATTTCCTAAAATCTAGCTGAGCTACACAAAAAAAAAAAAAACATCTAGCTGCAAACAATTACTTATAAAACAAACGTATATACCTCAAAGACAATCACATAACTGACTGGTTTTACAGTATCTTGTATGTATGAATATGGATATAAATTAAGTAAACTATTTCCTATAAATCTTGTTGAGTCTGTGTGCACAACATGATCCTATGAGGAGGGAAAAGAAGGAGTTACTAATGAAGACAGCTGAGAAAGGACAATGCCAGGCAGCACACTGATATGGCCCATTCTGTAAGGTGTGGATCCATATTTTTAGCGAGTAGTTACTAATGCAGTGTGTGGGATAGAACAGAGCAGGGGATGAAAAGGGAGGGAACTGAGTCCTTGCCAGAGCATGATTTAGGAGCTCTGTATCGGGCCCAGCATTGTGAGAGCCACAAGATATCCAAGCTGCAGAAGGCCAAACGGGAAGGCAGTAAATCTGTTGCCATCTGTACCATTCCCAACTGTGTGTATCTTTGACAAATACACACCCCCAAAAAGGGATTACATGAAGAAACCAGCCAAATGGGAAGAGTTTGGCCTTACTGGAACCAGCTGGCTGATCAGTGAAAGGACTTACAAAGAAATCAAAAGAAACAGAAAGGGCGCAAGATGTTGCATTGCAACAAGTCAGATTTCTTGTTATAGAATTTTACAGCAGCCTGAGGAAATCTATCCATCTCTCGCTTTGTTTGTTTAAAGAAAATGGTCCCTGTAACCCATTGTCTGCACTTACCAGAGGTTATGGGTCTTTAATCTGTTGACTTTCATTATCTCAGAGCCATGTTTAATCCTGTAAGAGACGTGTCGTTGATGTCTTATCTGCGCAAACATGGCACTTGTCGATATGAGACTGCATGACCCCCCTGTGACAGCCATAGAATAAACAAGTAGAGGCCTTGGTCCATGCAGTAAATTACCTCAGGCCAATGTTCAGACATCTAGTTTTATATCAGAGTACATTGGAGTAATGTTGTGCAGTTGCATTAAAGATAAGCAAACAGCAACTATTTGAGAAATGCAAGGCGAGCTTACTGGTAGTCTTTAAGGATACAATAATGGCTTTTGAATTTTTAGGATAAAAATTTTAAAAAGTTTGTTGTTAGCAAGGACACATGCCTTATTCCGTTATTATGCCAGCTATGCACTTGGATTCATCAGCCTTTCCTTGTTAACTGGCCCCTGAAATATAATAAATGCCTCTGCCACAATGTTTTGTGAGACCTCTCTACCTGCCATCAAACAACGGATGGTCTGGACATGACGAGAGGCAACACTGCCCACAAAAAGAACTAATATTTAATCTCCAAACACATCTCTCTTTATTACTGAGCTGCATCCGTCAAGTCGTCAGTCAGAAATGTCTCGCTCTGTCCCAACTGTGAGTCTGTGACAACTGGCCTGGCTGCTGATGGAGTCGTGAATATTGACTGACTGAGAAAGCCTCACACTACCATTTCAAAGTTTGATAGCTTTTCAAGCCTCTTCTCTCTTTGATGGGGAGGTGTTAGCTCGAAGTGCGGTAAACACAGAAATAGTCTTTTCTGTCTCTCACTCCCTTTTGATATAGCTTTGATCAGAAGTTGTATCAAGCCACTTCAGATCTTGACTTTTACTGTATATGAGATGCATTCCGATGCGCAGTAAATCCCACATATGGAAAGTCAAACACGATTAACCCTTTTATGTGTTTACCTGTCTATGCCATTGTTTTGGATGTTTCCGGGGCATGGGTGTGCCTATGTGTTGTCTCAGATATAAATGCCATTGTGACCGAGGCGCTTCCTTGTGTGAATGCCAACGTGACTGTCATTCATTCAGCTTCAGCCTCACCTGAATGAATGGCCAACCTGGTTACCATGGCAGTGATAGTCATGATAGTCACTGGTGTTCCTCCTCTGTTCAGAGCAAAAGACAGATACTGTATAACACTGCATGGAAGCTCTGTACGGCACTCCCATTTTGATTTGACCATGTGGTAAATTGCTTGTTTTTTGCTTGAAGTCCCTAAGCCCTGATAAATTCCAGTCCTGGCATCTGGCCTCACTGTGTACCGCTGGTCTTCTCACACTGTTGTTTTGGCCCTTTGACTTCAGCTGCCCCCCAGTTTGTCATCCGTCCAAGGGACCAAATTGTGTCACAAGGCCGCACTGCCACCTTCCCATGTGAAACCAAAGGAAATCCTCAGCCTGCTGTCTTCTGGCAGAAGGAGGGAAGTCAGGTAAGAGCAGAAACTACTTTCATCTTTTTTTATTACCTTTTCACATTATTTCTTACATATAAAAACATATTGCTCTCTTAGTCGGCAGCTTTTATTATCTACTGTGCAACCGGTGTTATCAACACTCAGTACTTTGTTTGGATTTCCCCGGGCTGTATGCACAATTGCTGTGTGCTTATGATACTTCTGCCCCGCACACACACACACCCACACACACAGCACTTCAAACTACACTATCTGTCATCAGTATCTTTACTACAGACACACAGATACACCTTTGTTCTCAGGAGCTGCCAAACGACAGCGCGCCTGGCGAAGTGCTAATCGGTTTTCTGTGACCCTGAACTGATAAGAACGATCCTATCCCTCACTCCAGCAGATAACCCATTCAAATACCTGGGTGTCCTCACAACGGTCAACAACAGTGCCAATTAGGAGCCTGTTGGGACTTGTAGATGAGCCAGAGATATGATTCAGCTCTGGCTAAGGTTGAAACATGCACAGCCTCACATATACACAAACACACTTTGCCTGCGGGGCCAACAATTACAACAAAGTTCTCTCGAAAGAGCGAACAGAAGTGAGACACATGCTTACATGTTCACACAGACTTTTGGTTTAATCCTCACACACCAACCTGTGACCTAGAGCGCCATGACTCAGTGCTACTGTGTAATGCTGTGAACTTACATCCGGCTCGTTGTCATTAAAAATGATGCGTTTGAAATGAATGCACGACAAACACTCTGGTACAAGTAGTTGCACATCCTCACCCTCACGGCACTCGTCTTTGTCCTTGTGTTTATCAACGGTTCCTCTACCTTAACCACACTGGTGTATAAAAGAGATGAAGGTATTTGTTGAGAGAACAAATTAAAGCTAATTAAGTATAGTAATTAAATGGTATAAAGGCTTTTCTCTCACACTTGAGGATAATAGAGTGTACATCTCTCATCTGCTGGAGATGCGTTGAGCCTAGTTTAAAAAAAAAAAACAGCATAATTTGTTGCATTAAAGTAATTAGGTGCAATTAAATACGGCTAATGTATTTCCCAGTTCTCTTTAGAGATCACAAGAAAAAAACAAATACAAAGAGATGTAGAGGTGATGTTTTGTCAATGTCATCAGGCATGTTTACTCAAAATTACCCTGAAACACTGATTATCCCTTCATCTTTAGCTATTTAACAGTTAAAAAGCATTATAATCGGGAGAAGTTCAACTCGTATGAGGTGGTCTCTTTGGCTACAAATGCAGCTCAAAACCACTGTGGAGTCGAAGCACAGAGGAAAGTAGTCATGAAGCCAACAAGAGCAAAAGTTGCCTTCCTCAAAGAGTGGAGCCTCTGGCTTGGCCCAAGTCAAAGTATGAAACCAAATCATCAAACTGTATACATGTTATGCAGTTTGTGAGGTTGGTTAACCAAGTGGTAGATGAAAATGTTCATACTGTAGCTGCAACAGTCTGATGTTTGTATGTGAGTGTGCAGGGTGTACACGTTAGTTTGTCAGTGTGTGTGTGTGTGTGTGTGTGTGAACGTTTTTTTTTTTTGTAGTTTTTCCAGGTTGCAGTGGTTCCATGTTCTCACTAATTGGCTGTTTGTTCCACTTCCTGCAGAATTTGTATTTTCCCAACCAACCCCAGCAGCCCAACAGTCGCTGTTCGGTGTCGCCCAGCGGAGACCTCACCATCTCATCTGTGCAGCGGGCAGATGCCGGTTACTATATTTGCCAGGCCCTGACCGTTGCAGGCAGCATCCTCGCCAAGGCTCAACTGGAGGTCACAGATGGTGAGAGAGAAAAAAAAAACCTGATGTGTAACTTCTTCCATGCCAGCACACTACTGCACACCAGCACATGCTTTAGCACTGCTGCAAATGTGGTGAATCTGGTGAACCATCAACAAATTATTTATACAGATTTTAGTCTGCCATGGTTTAACTGCAGCGTCGCTCCTGACTTCTTAAATTTAAGTGGGAATTTGGCCTTTAACACATTTGAAAGTGCACAATAGGTACAAAATTATAGACGTAAAATTGCAGTTCTTCTATGTGCAAGAATAAATTCAGTTTTCATTTGAGAAATGTCAGAATGTCCATGACCTTCATTCAGTGTGTTTTTGCTCTACACTTATTGTTTCTTTCTTTTTTCTTTTTTTTTTTCTGCGAAATTTAATTAAAAAATTCTGCTTTACCTATTGGAAAGGAAATAAAGCATTGCCCTTGAGTTCCTTCAAGTTTATTGGTCAGTGTTTGAGTGGGTGGGCGAGGCACGAGCATGTGTACGAGCAAGAAAAAGAGACACAGAGAAAGAGATGGAGTGAGTGAGTGACAATAGCTTTCCTGTGGAATGAATTATGGGGTCCTGCTAGGCGTGGGAGCATCTAATCTGCTCAGCTGTTGTGATGGTAAGATAGACGGCTATCCATATGTCTGCGGAAGTACCTGCTAGCTGAAAGATTAAACGCACCGCAGGAACACTCTTTCAGTGTTTTGCGTGATGCAGGTAGGAAATTAGTATGTCCTTCAGATGCCTGCAATAATACATCACATTTCAGTTAAGCTGCAGTTTATTTCAGTGAGCTCAATAGCTGAGAACAAATGCCACACATCACAACAATTAAAAGTATTCTACACAAATACACCAATTTCAACAAATTATACACTGTTATAGTGTTAGAATACTTGCTAGTGACGCTTTGGAGTCTTTCAGAGAAACGAGTCTCTAGCTTCGAGTTCAGTCCAGACGTCAGGTGAATAATGCTGGAAAACCAGACTTCCCATTGAGAGGTCAAATGAAGAACTTTCCAAACCAAATCTTTCCTGTGATGTGGCTTTGTAGCTCTGAATCCAGCTAAAGACATTAACCCCCAGCAGTTTCTGGGAGATTTTTTTTGCTCTCACATTTTTACTCACAGTTTTGAATACAAAATGAAATCCTGCACTGTGGTGGAACCAGTTCAGCTATGACTACAAATAGAGAGAACTTCAAAATGTTGAGACTTTTTGCTGTATGACAGAAAAGAGAAGAAAAAAAATAAAGTTTAATATCTTTGGTTAGTTAATAGAAACTATATATATATATATATACACCTCTACATAGATTATATATTTTACTACTTACAGTTTTGTTTGTTTCCATACTTTCCTCCTATCTGCTCTGTGTAAACACAGCCTGCAGTTCAGCTGAAAATCCCTGAATATTTCACTAACAGCTTCATGGTTGTGCCAATGAACCTATTTTTTGTTTTTTACAGAGCGAACAGTCTATTTCTGGCATGGTAAAGTGTCACGGTTTAAGTTTAGATAAGTTTCCTGAAGTAAAACCATGTCACAGATGAGTGGTTCAAGGGTCAATAAAAAGTTGAAAGTCTGAAAAAAATTATGTTTTTTACAGTGTCTTTCTCAGATAAGTAGTATAGTTTCTGCAGTTTTTTTTGTTTTGTTTTGTTTTGAAAGGATAACGTGCCTTTTAAACCAGCCAGCTGGTTTTGGGGTTCAGAGGGTTAATCATCTCAGAAGGCCTTATAAATGAAGACACACTTGTGCTTTTTGAAAGCTAGCGATAGCCATCCCAGCTAATAATGGTGAATGTAATAGCTGTCTGCAGTAATGAATCAAATGACACAGTGGTAGACACTCTCCAGTGGTTTTAAGTGTAGAGACAGCAACATGAACATACAGGTTACATCCATAATCCAATAAAGACAGTTTAGTGGATTGTGTTATTGTTTTCCTCAGCTTTAGTAGCAGTAAAATAAAACTCTGTTTGCGTAGACTAATTTAATTTGATTTTAACAATTTTCTCTCTTTTGTCATGAACATATGTACAGTATTTCCTTGGCTTCGAGGCTTTATTCTGTAAAACTGTGTAACAAATGGCATGCTATCAAAACGGATCTCAGACAGAAAGAGCAAAAGCAGGAACGAGTGAGGGAGGTCCAGGGTGAGGTCATGGCCACACCTGCTGTAGTCTTCATGTGATTTACTGCCCCGAGTCCCGCCAACAGTCTGTGGAGTTCAAGGAGATCTGTAATGAGAAATTCCTGATCCAGAGACCCAAGGCCTCAGTCGAGCTTTGCCTCCTCCCTTTGTCACTCCTACATGGCTTTGACACATACATCAGATGCATCAAACCCCATAACCGAGCAGGGCCTTGTGTTTGTGTATTTGCTTTTGTCAAAACTAGTCATACAGCAGCTTAAAGCCGTCTTTTAAATAAGGAGTACCTTGAAATTTCTCAAAAACATCTATTAATCTGTACTGTTCCACGCAATTTTAGCTATTTAGTAGTGAAAAGGCTTCCTTCAATTCATATTATGATGTCTGTATACATATTTAGCTTAAAGCAGTCATTCATAGAAAACCTTTTGTTAGAGACAGAACAAACTGCATCATTGTGAGGCTCTGCCTAGTAGCAGGTGCTTTAAATCCTATCTTGGCCTAGTTTCAGATTTACATTATTACTTTTGATTCATATGTTCGTACTTGCCCTTTTTTCCACCTTACAGAGTCCTAAAAACAAATAGGGGAAATTAATGTACTACATTTGGCTTGTGCTGGGTAATATATCGGGTTTCTGCACGCTTACTCCCCTCTGTCTTAGGTGACCCAATGCGAAGGGTAACCACAAGACAGCAGAAGTGAATCGCCTGGAATCACTTTCTTTTGTCAGATGTAACTGCAAGAGAGAAAATAGGGTTGGAAGTGAGGGTGTGATAATGTGTTGAAAGGTTACTGAGGTAGACTTGGTAATTAGCCCCTGCAGGTCTGACATCATTAATCTATACTTTCTAATTAATGTGGGTTCTGTGATGCCAGGGGGACTCCACATTATTCAACTCTGTATAAACTGCCTGTGTGCTACAGTGCTAAATCTCTGCGAGATCACCTCTGACATACCCACTATTTCATAGAAGTAACCCACAGGCTTTTTTGGCACATTATAACAAATGAATTTGCTCATATAAATGGGATTCATCAAAGTATTAACACTCATCTAAAGAGAAACTGAATAAAATATAAAACGGGTTATCCTCTCTTATTATTTAATATAAAGTTTTAGACGCTGTTCTTTGCACTGTTTATCCATCACATGACCTACCACGATTTGGTTTCTGTGTGATTTACTATTTGAAATTCACCTTTTATTGTGCCCCACGCTGCACATAATGAAGTATTTATCTGAACCACACTGAGTCAATAGGCGAGTGTCTCACCGCCAAACTGTACCACAGAGTCTAGAGTAGTGTATAAAAATAAGGCTACCCAGGCAGTAACTGGAAACCACTTAGTATCCCTCTGCCACATCAATGCAACTGCAAAACACTAGTCAGCTGTTCTTTCTGTGCTTCCTGGAAGTACAGGATATGCTCATTGTTCTGTGGCACAATTACAAGACCTGCAGGGAAAATAGTCCACTTTATGACAGATACCCACATCCACCCCCCGGCGTATTTTATGATCAATGCTGTCACTCAGTTTATTACGCCTTATGTGAGCACCGTCACCCATCTTAACTTGCGGATAATACATTCACATTTTGCTCTTTGTGTCTCAGTGCTCACGGACAGACCTCCACCCATTATTCGCCAAGGCCCATCCAATCAGACACTCGGAGTGGACAGCGTGGCGCTGCTGAAGTGTCAGGCGTCAGGAGACCCCATCCCGTCCATCAGCTGGCTGAAGGATGGGGTCAGTCTGCTGGGAAAGGACCCACGCATGTCCTTGCAGGAGCTGGGCAGCCTGCAAATCAAAAGCATCAAGGTAAAGGTGTTGAGGTCTTCAGAACACCTCATTAATTTGTGCTACTGTATGTTACCGATGCATTTTTTCAAAGTGAATACTATCCTTATTTTAAGATGTTTGCACAGTTATTGCAGATAGCACAATACAATGTTTAGTATTAGCACAGAATGAGCAAAAGGTCTTAAAGAGATGAATAGCCGGCATTGATTTTTTTAAGAACTGTTTTATAATGTCACTTAGTGGCATTGCACTTTCAGCTGGGCTCAGCTGTGCAGGGCTCACTGGACTCCAGCTGTAGCACAGAATATATATGCACTTATAGATATACACACACACACGTGCACACACTTCCATGTTTAGATTAAATTTAAGAGGCTCACTTCTTCCTTTCCCCACTCGGAGGCCTCAGCGGAATACCTATTACGCTTGACAAAGCCGCCGACCACTGACATGTTATTTAATAAATGGAAGGAAGGCACGGGGACAAAAACCAACAAACAACCAAAGTTCCTAAGAGGGATGGGGAGACAAGCCAGCTGTCATCAGTCCAGGGGGTTCTAGCAGCCCACCCTAAATTAATTAGCCTGGCTTTGTTGTGGTCGGCAGGACAGTGGGGAAATAAGGAGGGGGAGTGGAAAAGTGATGGAAGGGTGGTGAGTAGAAAATGGAATTCATTTGGAAATTAGCGTCAGCACTTTGAGCCGCTCGCAAATGACACAGAGTTTGTCCAGCACAAGGCGAGCTCGTGAATCCCCCCCCATCACTTCTCAGCGCTTCAGTGACAGGATGACCGCATGTATTCAGTCATTACTGCTGCGCATAGGATGTGTGAACTAAAATCCCTTTCGCTGGCAGTGCTATTAGTGGAGTCATTATTGCATCACTGCTGTTGCTGTGTTTGTTTTCATTCATGCATGTTTGTGTTCTCCTGTATACCAGCTGTCAGACTCTGGGATCTACACATGTGTGGCCACCAGCTCCAGTGGGGAAACATCATGGAGCGCTTTCTTGGAAGTCAAAGGTAGGTCAAAGGAAGATGGTATAATAATGTCTAATGTGCACTGAAAAAAAATCCTTCTTTAACTTGTCAGGTATAGCTTTTATTAAAGAGACTGGCTTCTTTCTGTCTCCTCTCGGTACATTCAGAATCAGGCGGAGTGTTGGTTGTTAAGAACCATGATGAGAACGAGCTTCCAGGCCCACCATCTAAACCTCAGGTCACTGATGTCACCAAGAACAGCGTGTCCTTGTCCTGGCAGTCTGGGATGGCCGGAACATCTCCTGTCTCCTCATTTGTCATCGAAGCATTTAGGTTTGTTTTCACTTTCACATCAAGCCCTCGCTCACTAGGTAGTAACTTAGCTTGGATTGCAGTTAGAAATTTAATGTACTATGTGAAAAGACATTGGAAAATGATGAAGAATCACCATTTTTCTTGTATTGCAGTCAATCAGTGAGCAATAGCTGGCAAACGGTGGCCGACCATGTGAAAACCACCCAGTTCACTGTCAAAGGCCTCCGTCCCAACACCATCTACCTGTTCATGGTCCGAGCAGTCAGCAGCCAGGGCCTGAGCGATCCCAGCCCCATGTCCGATCCTGTCAGAACACAAGGTACGTGAAGGAAATGAATTACATGAACAACGTCTATTGCATTCATATGCGGCATAGGTATTTCGGGGCCTTTAATAATCACTTTCACTTTTGGCGTGTCGTTTTTTTTGCTCTGTCTAATTTCTGTTTCTCCTGATAGGCTAAGGTCACTGTGCTCCACTTCGAACTGCGATACTTATCAGCCCCTCTCGGCAGTCTGCAGTGAATAGCTAAACTGAACCACTGCAGAACTTTCCAGAGGTCAAATTCTTCATCTCAGCTCAGCTCATTAAGGCTGCACTTAAGCAATTATGTAAAATAAGCAGGTCTGCTTTTGGAGGGCCTAACAGAGTTAGTGCTATCCCTGCTATGTTAATCATCGTAACAGGAGAAAATGACTGTCTCCAAACCCTAAGAAGATTTGATTACAATACCGGACAGACCACAGCCTTCAGTTTGCATTGATATGATACGTTTCCAGCAAGAAACGAATAAATAAATAAATAAGCAGCATTTGGCCAAGCTCTGTCAAAAACAAGCCAAAAGTGTCTTTAAAAGAAAATAGAGTGAATTTGAATTGCAGCATGTGTCCCTCATGCTGAGATGAAGGTCTTGAGATGATATATAGATGAATTGATTGATAATGGCATCCATTGATGACAAATGTATTTTTTCACTTCTTGTTTGTTCCGTCTGGCCCTATAAGTGTGGCCTGTAATTTATGACCGTATTGGGTTGTCTGAATGAAGCTTTTTCTTGAAATATAATTTCCTCTTTTCTTTTTTCTTCCCTTCAGTAAATAACTCAAACTGTGGCTCGCTTCAACCACACTCAGTATCTCATACGCTGGAGTTTTTTATTGCGTGTAACTTGAAACACATGCATATGTGAAATGAGCTGGAAAATAGTGTCATAGTGTCCATTCATCTTCCATCCAATATGTCTGAGGGTCGCACATTCAGAGTTCATTCGTTGCTGCGGTTGCTCAGTCAGGCCCCAGTAAGTGCAGACAAGTTACACATCTACACAACTTTGCAAACCCGAGTCTACTTTCTTTTCTTCATAACAGACAAGTCCCTAATTCAAAATGGAATGAGGTCATTTTAATGCAGATGAAGTTGCTCCCTTTCAAAAGAAGTCGTGATCACAAAGTGTACACGTCTTTGTTAAATCCAACTGGTCTATTCAGTCCCTCTTTTATCACTCCACTTCTGATGGTGATGAATCAGGGTTTATTGTGAGGAGCCGAGTGAACTCTGTGAAAACCAAGTGGAAGAGAGCGAGAAACATTTTACTTTTTTTTTGCTTTATTTTGGGGCCTCTTTCTCTCTCTCTCGCTTTTTCTCATTTTTCTTCTTTTCTCTTTCATAGATATCAGCCCTCCGGCTCAAGGTGTCGACCACAGACACGTACAAAAGGAGCTCGGCGAGGTCATAGTTCGGTTACACAACCCGGGTGTCCTGAGTCCCACAACCATCCAGGTCACATGGACAGTAAGTGCAGCTTCTCATTTTGCAGACTGAGTACAACTATATTTAACTGACACTATATTTTCACCAAGTACATCCTTTTTTCCATTTGTTCAGCTCGAGTCTTTACACTGCAAGAACTTAGATATAAAAAATCATTTGTTTTGCATGTGGTTTTCTTATCTCGCTGCATTCTTTTTACATCTTTGATTTTGCAAAATTGAGTCATAAAGCCAAGGTAGTTGATACTAAAGATCCGTCTTTGAAGCCAAAGATGTGCCGCTCGAGGCTACAATTTGTTTTATGTCAGGAATTTTTTTGTCAGATTGTTCCCTAAGACTGCAGCTTTGAAATATTGTAAGTGGTGACTTAGAAGTAACTGCACATCAAATGGCTGCAAAATCGTCTCTTTAACCACAGTGAACATCAAAAGAGATGTCAGAGACATCTGGTTGTTCATCAATCTTCCATATGTCTTTAGCTGCTTGCTTCTTAAAGCGACGACTGCTGAGATTAAATTAGATTGAAATTAATGGTTGTGGTTGTAAATACAAGTTTTCCAATTGCCAGGGGATGATGCATTAATCTTCCGTTACGCTCATACATGCAAACAATAAAAAACACACCTGTTTTTCTACTATACATATGCACATATTGTGGCGTTTGCAGCACCATGAGATCTGCTATGTCCCAAAATTATACATTTTTTTCAAATTGGAAAATTTAAAAACAGCTGCAGCCTCGATAAAATGATTTTAATTTAATTTTGTAGTAATGAGGACAAAAAGGCTATTTAGTTTTTTCATTCGGCGGTGTTCATACAGTATATGTGCTGGTTTATTTTGATTATAGCGCTTTAAATCAGTCAGGTGCAGGTATTTACTTGACACCACTTAGTGGCATTGGGCAGCAGTTCGCATTTTCAAATGAACAACATTAGCAGCTTTCCTGATGGCATGTTTATTGACCCCTGTAGTAAGTCTCACCCCAAGATGTGGTAGCTAATTTAATGCTAAAGCAGGGCTTTATGATTGTAATGTACAGTCAACACAAAACATGGCTGCCTAATCCATCAGGGGCCCTTTCAGTAAACAGAGGGGCCACTCTCAGAAAGCTTTTATATTCCCAAATCATTCCATTAATAAAAGTCACGCACCAAGCAGGGAATCCATTTTGCTGATTTACTCGGGCTACACTGGCGAAAAACAGCTGCTTAATATCCCACTTGAAAGCCTCGCTCACTTCTTCTACTGTTAACAAGCCATTACAGTGAATTATGCCGCTGCTCCTCCTCTGCATAAATTCAGCTTTTTCTGTCTGGCTAAATGGGCCCAAGTTTTAAAAGAGGGGCCCTTTGTGGATTTCAGGGGGCTATCACAAATCCTGCCACTCAGTCTTTTCTATGGGACATATCTGCTGTTATCACCTCTGTTGTGTATTCCCCTCATGTCCCTAGGGCCTATGTATTTGTTGCTGTATGACATTCTCATAGTCACAGCTCATCCTAGATGTGGTGGAAAATGGTTTATGGTGTCACTATTTAGCATTTATAATACATACGAGACATGCATATGTCCTTTAAGGTGGAAAGTCTTTCAAATGGAAGTGCGACCAGTCTGGGCTGGGAGATGTGAGTATGAGGTAATGTCAGGGTGTTAATTGAGCTAAGTGTTGCATGGCTGGTGATGAAAGGCCCATTAAACAAGTAACAGCCGCTAAAGTGTAATGCGAAAAAATCCTGTGAGGAAAAGCTACATCGCAGATAAACATCAATAGTGGTTGTTTCAGCACTGCACAGTTCTTTTTGCTCTGAAATATAGCAGTAATCCTGTTTTCCTTTACTTTCTCAGGTGGACCGTCAGTCCCAGTTCATCCAGGGCTACAGAGTTCTGTACAGGCAGACATCAGGACTGCCTTCACCAGGACTATGGCAGACTCAGGATGTCAAGGTCCCCTCTGAGCGCAGCGTCATCCTTTCTGCACTCAAGAAGGGCATTGTTTATGAGATCAAGGTCCGGCCTTATTTCAACGAGTTTCAAGGCATGGACAGTGAATCCAGGACGGCACGGACCACTGAGGAAGGTATGACGTGGAAGAACTTTGCTGAGTATGTGGCGATTATGTCAGGAGCAATAAAATACCAAAAAACAAAGTCAAACTGTGGCTCATCCACTCAAATGTGGGATGACGGGTGACACATGACCCCGTAGGCTGCTTTCATGTTGGTTTTTTGTCGTAATATCACAGAGACCGCTGCTCCTCCGTTTGATACAGAGAACTGAGAGCATATGCGTGAATGCATGCGTACGTGCTTGCGAGTTTGTGCTTGTCTTTCTGACCTTCCTGCTGTGTTTTTTTTGTTTATGATTGGTGGTGTTAGTGCCAGCCTTCTTTTAATCCATCACCCAGCAGCCACAGACCCGAGCTGTGATTGGACACAGCACACACTTCCTCCTGCGAAGATGATCTGTCACCCAAAGCTTGATTCATACAGGCGCTGACAAGGCCACAGAGCACTGTGGCACAGTATCACACACAGGCACACACACACACAGGTCTGGTTTGGATGAATTTACTATTTTGACCTATGCCAGAACAGAAATGCATCCAACTTCCACCTTTGAGGCTAATAAATTGGATTATGATGTGAACGGAAGTACAGACGCACTGTACATGCCCACAACAGCACAAAAAGACAAATACAGACACTTTGTACTGGAGACAAAGCCTATCTTGCCACAGCATATTCAGGCCTGCATGTATAGGAGACAGTTCACATCCTGTCAGGATGACAGGCCCATTTATTTTCCCTTTCTCGGAGGGACCGTATCTCTTGTGGCTAGCCAGTGAATGCACTGCAGTAGTGGAACTGCCATCACATAACAGCTGTCCCAAACACACACTGTTACACAAACACAGTAAACACATACATGCCAACACACCTCCTCTCCCTAAGGCCTCCAGAACCTACATGTCTCAGCTATTACCAATCCTGATAACAGTCCCTGCTTTTGCTCTATCTGCATCCCAGTCCCACAGAATCTCAACCACTTTCTATTTCTGTCATAACCCTGCTGCTGTGCCCGGTCATAGCTCATACTCCGTCAGACACACGGCTCCAGGCTCCTCGGAGGCTCTGGGACTTTACTGAGGAGGGTGGCTAGATGGATAGAGAAATCTAGTTCAGAGGGTGATTAAAACTTAGGTTGTCCATTAGCTAACACAATTAAAGAATCCCCAGCGCAGCTCCAGGCAGATGCAGGGTTACAGAATGCTCAGCTAACCAATGCTGCGTCCATCTTTGTAGTCTCTCTCTCGCCCCTGTTTCTCACGTATTCTCTCACTCCCCATCTGGACAGTCACATCATGACTGATAAATGAACTCTGGCTGCCATCTGATTCCCGCTGAATGATTGTTTAAGAAGCAACTAAGCAGGATCATCTTTTATGCAAAGTAATGCTTATTTAGGGGGAAGGAATTCAGTATTGTTTGTATAAATGTTCATTTGTCAGCTAATCATCTACGCTGATCTCTGGGGAAGGTCCACAGCTTTCCTCCCACACCACCCACTTCGTTACATTAACTATCGGCTACTTTTTTGTATGGATATATGTTTGTATTCCTTCATCATTCAGCAGAGCACAGCGTGTGCATGCGAGACAGGGGGTCACATTCCTGCCTGCCATACATCACTCCGCTAATGGCTCTATTAGCACAGCCTCCAAGGCCTCTAATGAAAAATGTGTATTGTTTAGCACAAATATGCATGATAATAAGCTGCTAAATCATTCATAACATTAACTTTGAACGACATTGTCTCTGATGGCTGCCACGCACCAATCCAGCACTTTGTCACCTGAATGTAATGCAGCGTTGGAGAGGCCTGAGCATGATGGCTGATCAGATGCTCCCTTGGTAGATTGTTTCTAATCTGGCCAAGGTGTTGGGTTCATCATTGGACCCATTCATCTTCTACCATGCCAGGGCCTTCTGGCTCTCTGGGGGCCGGTGTAGCCAATTGCGCTGAGGGATGAGCACAGATTTACAGGGTGACACGTGCCATTTTGGATGGAGGTGAGGTAAGGGAGAGGCAGCCCAGGAGTAATTGACCTGTCAGTATTCTGCTGTGGTGCCTCTCCCCTGCCAGCCGCTGCGGAAATGAGAAAACATTATTTTTAAAACGTTATTTCCAGTTGGGCCAACTGTTATTTATTTTTCCTCTTACCCCTTGTGGGGTCAGAAGATTGTTGCCATCAGAATAACAACAGAGGTTTATGAAAGCTCGGACTTGTCTTGTTTCTATCTACTCCCTGTCTGCCCGTGGAAGGAGCCGATTCACTTACATGTCCCTCGCTGTGATCCTTACCTACTGGATTTAGTTTCATCTGGTCGATCGATGGAATCGGTCAATATGTTTACTTAGACCTTGTTTCCTTTCACTAAAATGTATTTTTTTTCATATTTCCTTCTTGTCTGCGCTTCATCCTATAAGCCCGTTGACCCACATGCCACCCTGGTTCGGTTAATACTGGAGTCTTAGCGTGACTGAGAGCACTTGCCTGACTGTGCCAGGCCCTCATTCCACAAATCAATAGCAGTATTCTCTGTGCAAATCCACAAGGCTGGAGCAGAGGATGATATATTAAATCATAGTGAAATGCTAAAGACAGGCCATGGCCATGTCGGATCTGCCCTGGGCTTCATGTAAATCCCCCCTCTAATGAAACATCTTGACAGGCTTCAGTCACATGTGCCATCCCTACAAAACAACATCCCTCAGAAAAGTTTGAATGTGAATATCTGTATGTGTGTGTCTATTTCTGTGTATGTCCTCTTATTGTTGCATATTTATGAGCTCCTGTTCAAATACACCCAGCCGCACCGTACGCACTATTCTTGTTAGTGGCACTTAATTATTTTTCCTTCTGTCTGAACATGCAGAGGCGTATATTTGTCTGTTGACCCGGACATTTTGTGCCTCCCCCTACAGCTCCCAGTGCCCCTCCTCAGCAGGTAACAGTCCTGACCGTGGGAAACCAGAACAGCACTTCCATTAGCATCTCCTGGGACCCCCCTCCACCAGACCACCAGAACGGCATCATCCAAGAGTACAAGGTTTGTCCCAGCGAGTCAGCATGGATTGTCACTTATCTCGTACAAAGCCAAACGGAATCAACTGCATCTCTCTGTTTTTCTCCCATTCTGCTTCAGATCTGGTGTCTAGGGAACGAGACGCGTTTCCATGTAAATAAGACGGTGGATGCGGCCATACGCTCGGTGGTGGTCGGCGGGCTGCAGGTGGGAGTGGTGTACCATGTGGAAGTGGCTGCCAGCACAAGCGCAGGGGTTGGAGTGAAGAGCGAACCTCAGCCTATTATCATTGGTAAGACTGATCGATATAAAGGAATCACAACTTTCCAACATCCAGTGTAGTGTTTTTTTTTTCTCACTGAAATGACTGATGTCAGGGGTTTTCACAAAGAATAACACTGTATTTCCACCAGCGTCGGTGAAGGATGGCAGGAAAAACACAAACATTGTGAATGTTTTCATGAAAGACAAGGAATTACCAAATGGGGGATTTTGTTGAAACACTATTATTTTGATATGTGGCCTGACTGCATATGATTTATGTGGAGCTGTGGCAGATTGTGCCTGATTTGACCCATAACTGATGGCTTGGCCTGCAGCATGTTCTTATTTCCCCAGTGTCACTCACATAATCCATCTCTGAGAGCACAGCCTCGAGCTTGTGGTTATAATATGTTGTGTTATTGCTTCTCTGCGGATGGGCATGTGTCCATTTGGTTACATAGTAATATAAAGATAAAGATTAGCGCAACTTTGCATGGACATATGCATAGATAACATATATGTTTTTATCTTTATTGGTGTGCATCTGTTCCCGTCGGCGTGTGGGGACAGTGGTAGCAGATAGCAGGCTAGTAAGGGTGAGCTGTGATTGGAGATCAATACAGTCCAGGGTCCTCTCCTCTCATTTCACATGGTGTGTTTTACCAGCAGTGGAGTGAATTAGGGGCTTAGCTAAGCAAACAACCTGCTCACCTGGGGGGTTTGTTATAGCTTTTAGGCTTTGTCTCTTTCAGTCTGCACATTATATTTCTCTGCACATCCTTTAGATCTATGTGTTGCTTTGCTGGTCAATATCTCAGCTGAAATTCATCAGACCTACTTTCTGTGAGCTTAATCTAGCCCTAACCCTGCCTTTACGTAATCTATAGGTATGAAAAAGTGAAATATTTCCAAGCCCTTCGGTATTGCTGTGCTAACGTTCACCTTGAAGATTCAGATGATACACAACAGCACTGATGTATCCTGTTTCCCTCCAGTAGCTCTCCACCCAGCAGCACTTTAATGTTGCCTGTTTGTCCTTGTGCCCTCAGGTAAAGAGTTCCGGGACGTGATTATACATGGAAACCGGAACAACAGCATCACAGAGCAGATAACTGATGTGGTGAAGCAGCCTGCTTTTATTGCCGGTATCGGAGGGGCTTGTTGGGTCATCCTCATGGGCTTCAGTATCTGGCTGTACTGGAGGAGAAAGAAGAGAAAGGGCCTGAGCAACTACGCAGGTTTGACATACACAGACATTCTGCTCTTGTGCTTAAACAAACAATGGAAAATTCTTCTCAACAAATAATAGATTTTTTTTTCTCTCTCTTTCAAAGTAAAACCTACGACATTACCATCTTTCAGTCTTAATGAGTGCAACCTTGAAATATTTTAGATGAGGTCTCGATGGCTGCTGTGTTAAAGCTCAACAGGGAGACAGATGTCAACATGAATCATTTTCAGAGGGCTACTGTTTTTGACAAAACCACCCACGGTGTTGGTTATTAGCCCAGGGTGATGCCACTGAGTGGGCAGACTGGACTCTCTGCTGGTCAGTGAAGTTGGAGTTTGTCCAGCTCTCCTCCCACACACACTGACCCTGACATCTTACTGAGTGACCCGCAGTCGATACGAGCAACCACCAAGTCCACATACACTGACAGCAGTACGAGATTTAATTGAAGAGACAAAATGGTAATGACCTGATGCTTACTGCAATCTCATGTGATATCTTTCCTTGTTAAAAATACACTTAAGGGAAACACATGTTTTTGTGGACACTCTTTCTATTTTTAACAAGTTGGGAACAGCGTGTCTAATGGCACCTATTGACTGGCTTGATTAATTTACTCTTCATTTCCGTTTGTTACATCTCTGTGTTTGTGTTTTTATTTTGTTTGTGTCTCTACACCTCCGTGGCCTCTGAGTTGGCTGCTTTCCTGGCTGTCGCTCTGCACACTGGGTGACGCCGTGGTCTCACATTCTCTGACTCCCTCGGCGCCTCTCAGCTCGACCCCGTCCCTAGTGTGCAGATACCCCTAAAGCACCGCTTACCTCTGCAGGCTTTTAACACACAACTTCTCTGTCTTCTTGTTTTGCAGTTCAGTCCTTCACCTTCACCCCTGCAGGTACTGTTCATTTGTCCCGTCTCCTCACCCTCCCCGAACGCAGATCCATCTCCCACCCGCTTATAGTCCATATGCTTGGATTGTCAGACTTCCGGTCATGGCTAATGCGACTTGAATGAACTTGATGAGCACAATTTTACCCGTCAGAGAATCAAACATGCAACTCAAAGAAATTTCACTTTGTCATTGGCCATGACCTGCAAACTTGAACTCTTTTCCTCGCCCAACCTACAGCCTTATTTTACACGTTGTGTTGTATTTGTGTGTATGTCTGTTGTGGCTATCTGTTTTTAAATTAAGTTTCATTCTGTCTTGTGTATCTTTCTTTGTGGCATTTTTTGTGGTGCAGGGTAAGATTGTCCATTATTCTCTGCTTCAAATAATCATATTTTTTTTTCTTCTTCTCAAGACTCAAGTTGTGTTGTAATTTACATATCTGTTTTCCCTGGGTGTCATTCAGCTGGGTGGAGTATTTCTGTCTTTTTCCCCCTTTTTTTCCTTCTGTTTAATTTTGGGTTGTTTACTTGTGATTGTTGGCCCCCCCTGCTGTGGTTCTACACATTTGGCTTCCTTAGCTAAATTTTGTGTTTTCATGGGCTGCTTTGATGGGTAACAGTGTTATATTTCACCGTCTGCCCTTTGCTGAATTAAGCCTGAGAGGCACCAACACTGTAAGGGTCATTTATCTGACTGTCTGTGGAAGACTGAATGAAGAGCAGCTTCTTAGTCACACTGAGCGGATGGATCGAAAGACAGCTTTTTAAACTGTAAAAGATGAAAAGAAATTACAGAAATAGTGTTAAAACTCAAAGTGCTAGGGGTCAGCTCAGTGCCCTCCCCTCTCTTCCCTGGATTTACCTTTTAGCTAATAACATTGTTTTGTTAAAGTATACATGTAGCTATGTGGTCCCTGTGGAGCCTACAGCCAAAAACCCAATATACTCTGGCCTTTCCACAGCAGCTGTATCAACAGATTATGACAGACATTAATACGTTAGGGTAACTTGTCTGGTTTTAAATTAGAAGCACACCTCAGAGAAGCCAGAGAGGAAGCAGGTTATTTCACAAAAGAGTTTTTGAGTGGCAAGCGCAAAGCAAGGTCAAACTCAGCACAGATTATAGAGTTGGAGCGAGGTGATATTTTGAACATGAGTCAGAGTGCAGCTCGAGAGTTACACCGCTGCTCTTCTCTGTATTGACAATTAGCTGATGTATCGAGAGTGTCCTGTCTCGGCCTCCTAAAGCTGTCAGTACACGAGAGGTAAATCACAACACTGTTGAGGCACACTGCCAGCAAGAATGAGATTTGATGGAATTTTTATATGCTGATTATGCCCCTACCACCCACCCCCACCAGTGCTTATTAAAGGGGATTAATCTGTATTCATATTGGAGAAAGTGCTTATCTTGGAGACAGAGGCGAGAAGCACAGCCCTGCCGCCGTGTCACTCTGGCTAACATAAAAGTATTCCACAGCAGCCCAGAAATGTGCCTGAGCACAGATAGGGACTTCAGAGGCCTTCCCGCTGCACAGCCTCCCCTCGCCTCCACCTCCTTCTTCTGTCAGTCGCTCACTCAGACAACAGAGTATTCTCTAATGCAAGTTTGGTGGTGGTGAAACAAAGAGAAGTGGCTTTGGCTATGACTGTATAAAGAATGCCATTCCTGTCTGGAGCTTTCAAAGCTATATTTTACTCAGACAGACTTGCCGTGTTGGTTTTATCTGGTTAAAACTAAGTATTTTAATTCCACCTGCTGGTATTCAGTTGCTTAAACCTTCATGTAGTAAATAAACTCTGCAATGCTCCAACATGCACGCTAGATAAAATTCAAATTGTGCCTCTCTCGTTTACAGTCCTCAAATGGTGTTTATGAGAGAGAGAATTGGATTAAGTAAGCTTAGGTAATGTTGGTGATACATTAAAATGTCTTGTTAGCAGCCTCTCTAATCTATTGTGGGAGTTTCCTGTCGTTGTCATCTGTTCCTACGTCACCCACAGAAAAGCCCCCTCTCTCGCCCATGCCTGGGCATGTTGTGGAATCAACTTGAATGAAACAGAAAAGAGAGGAGGAATGTTCAGCCTTCTTCTCTTCTTTAATCTCCATCTGTGGAACAAATGAGCCAAATTACTAACAGCTTTCCTTCTCTCTCTTTAGTCGACCAGCTCTCTCATTTCCCCCCTTCTCTCTCTCTCTTTTTTCTTTCCTCATCGGTATGAGGTGATTTCCAAAACTCTTGCTGCTTTTCTGTGTTTCCTGTGAGCCATTGAAGTTCAAACATGCTTAGAACTCTCCCTGCCGCTTTGTCATCACAACAGAGATGAAATGGAAATCACAGCCGTCTCTCACTTTCAGCCACGGAGTTTTACTAGCCGCTGACAAAGGGCGGCCCTTGTTATCTATAGATCACTGTAATGGAACAGGCCACATGCATGGCTTCTGGGGAGCCCTGCTAGCCAAAGGATCAGTAACTCAGCCTCTATGCTTGTGGATAGAAAACCCGATGTGATTAATGAGCCCTCTGCCTTTTCTAATCATTTTTTGGCTGAGATTTAATCACAAATCTGATAATAACTCAGCAGCAAAATAAGAAAGATGAAATGAGTTTTCCCTCTCATCAGGCATCTTGTCCTTGAGGAACACATGACGTCTCCACTTATGCAAAGCAATGCAATACGCAGTCTTCATCATTACACTTTTTTTTTTTTTTTTCAAAAAGAGAGAAATTCATGAACGACATTGGATGCAGAGGGACATCTGCACCCCTTAGCGAATCCATCAACTGTCTAGCTGTGCAAGAAAACGTGAAAAAGATGAAAACAGAGCTGGTGAAGGGCAAACTGGGCAATACAGAAAAGACAGTGCATCTTATCTTAATTATGGAAATCCATCCTGGTTGTTTGCTTTTTAATATGCTAGAAAACCTTTAAATCTTGGCTTTTCTTTTTGTCTTTCTTTCATTTCTGACTTTAGTGACATTCCAGAGAGTTGACGGCGGTCTGATGAGCAACGGAAGGTGAGTGTCCCACCAGAAATCTTTTTTTTTTTTCTATTTGTCTGCAGCATCATCAGCAAATACATAAAACCGTTCCATCATTTTTATTTAATTCTCACTGTCCAAGGCTTTACATGATCTTTCCTCAACGGTCATGCATGAAGTTCACAGCAAGCGGCTTTTGATTCCAACATTGATGAATGGCTGATAGATTGATAGATACCCAATACCTGTTGTGTGCCTACCGCGCAAACCGGCGCGTAAATATACATTTCTACCACATCTCCATTCATGCATCGATAGATGAACTCATAAATCTCCTCAACAGAATTAACAGAAACAATTTAAGCAGAGAGTGCTTTTATTTTGTCATTTATCTTCCGCTGCTGGCTACAGGCAACCCCGGAGCCCTCTGGAGTGATAAATTTGCCTGTCACCTTGCGTGGGCGGCTGGGATCTGAGCACATGTAATAATGTAAAAATAATTACCCAAGGGAGAGGTGTGTGGAGGTACCCCACTTGCACCCCTATACAGCCTGCTCCATTTCAGTGTGTGTTAGTGAAAGGAAGAAGGGGCTACAGTGAATAGGGCACATTTCAATGACACCAGTTACTGAGCCTTTGTGGGTATTCAAGGGACTCCCTTGAGAATCCCAGGCTTCTGTCTATCTACTGCTTATCACACCTGACTTGGTAAAACCTCCAGATCTCAAACACTCAGTGAGAGATTGCAGCTAAATCTGACCCTGTGTGTCTTTGGGCTTTTGGGAATGTGTCTGCTCTGCAGTTTGGTTGCAGGGTTTTTGGTTTATTTTTTATATTTATGCAGTTTTTTCAGTTTTTCTGTGCATATAGCTGGATCCTACAATGGACTATTTTGCCTGTGTTGTTCTGTGAGCTGCCAGCAATCTCTTAATGAATTAGCCACGCCACTTGCCATGCCGTTTCTCATCTACTTTCTGCTGTAGTGTTTTTCCTTCAATTTTCCACATAAGTGGTTCTGATTCTCACTCCGGCGAATAGGATTTGAAATGTCTGTATTTCTGCTGCTCTATATTTGTCATATCTTTAGTCAGTTGCAGTGACTCCCTCAATTTCCACAACGCTGAAATAGGATGCAGTCTGAAGCTCTAACACAAGCCTCTGATCCGTTAGTTACTTTGGTGCCATCAAATCCCAGATGTTGCAACTTCCCCATCTGCCCTGAGAGCGAAAATATGTAGCGGAGTATCTCGGGAAAATGTGTTCATTTGTTGCATGAGATGTTTATTGCATTAATTAGACAATAGCAAATGAAGCCATGTCTGTTTCTAGTTTCTCATTGGCTCCTGCCAAATTGCTCTGACTGAACAATTACACTTAATCGATCACAAAATAAATGATTCATGGAAGATGAATAGGCTGCAGATTGGTAGACCTGGACAATTTGACTTTGGCTGCTCAATTGAAATTGATAAAAGCCGATAAGGGTTCATTCCTTATCCTCCTGCCAATAGGGAGATGGTAATTAGAAGGTAGTAATAACTTCCTATCTCGGCACTGATCAATATTTTAGCAAAGCAGATTCACCCTGATCGGCAGGGAGAACAGGCTGAGCATTGCAGTGAACAGGTTTCACTAACACTGTTGCTATGGAGATTCCTTTACATCCTTGGATCTGAATACTAAATGACAGCATGAGAGTTAATCTAGGAAGTAATCTGTGTTTCCCATTGCTCTAAGTGTTAGCTAATGTCTAGACTTTTAATCCAAGCTCCATCCGCTAGTCTGTGGGGCCATAAACAGCTGATTTATGAAGTTGCTTTGGAATTAATTTCTCTCACTTGGCTTATTTATGGGAAGCTCGGTGTCAGCCATCTTAGGCAGTATTTATGGTTTCCTTCCTACTCATCACAAGTAACTGAAATGTCTAACAGGAAGGTGAGACGCTCCAAATCAAATTTTATCTGCCAAGGTTGCCATCCATCCTAGGTTGGGCAGGGATTAAAAGTTAAGTGTCAACTTTTCATTAGACGTATGACCCAGTGTCTATCCCCACCGGTTCTCCATTACCCCACAATCTCTCACACATACACACACAACCCCACATATAACAAATATCCCCAGTTGAAATCAGTCTTATTCTAATTATCCTTAGCAGAAATACCGCTGTGTGATGAATACAAGGACGATACAGCCATTTCCACTGTCAGCTCCTTGTCTTTCAAATGGTCTTTCTTTCGTGCGCTGGGGGAGGACTTGCTGGAGCACACAGGACAAGTGAGACTGGTGACGAGACAAAGCCATGGTCTTTTAATTTTGACCGTGTGCAGCCTTGCTGGAGTCAACAAAAGAGAAAAATGCTCTCTTCTTTTGCAGCCGCTTGGAATTTTCAGCCTGACAGATGCTAAGCACACAAGAGGCAGGCAGGAGAGAGAGGAGGAGGAGGAGGAGGAGGTGTATAAGGGAAAAAATAAAAGAAAATAGGGTTAGGGAAAGATTGTATGGCGAGAGAGAATGATGGCGGTGGGGTAACACGGCAGCCAGAAACAGAGGTAGAAGGACGAGGTGAGATATATTACCCTATAAAAGTGCATGTGTCTGATGCACAGCCATCAATTTGAATGACTTGTCTCCCCCGAGGGCCTGTTTTGGCATTCAGGAACCACAGCAAGGGCTCTTAGCTTGCCAGGGCTGCAGTTCATTTGGAGTCTCCCCTCCGTGGAACAGCTCTTCTCATTAGAAGCTGTGGTTGAGGCAGAAAGTGACTGCAGCACGCCCATTACCTGCCCTTGTCCTCGGGGCTCGACTCCCTCTGAGTCCCTCAGAGCCAACACATCACCCCTCTGGAGTTGAAACAAAAAGCCTCATCAGGCGGTCGGGCCGGTAACTACTGTGTTCCACAGCTTCTCAGAGGCCTCATGTATCTGTAATCTGCTACATAAAACACTGCCGGGCACTGAAAGTGGTGCATGCTGTGGATACTTCTGATACTTTAGCTCAGGGTCTTTTGTCCGCTTAAATGTGTTTATTTTGTATCCTTTATCTACTGAGGTAAACGAGTGATTGCACGTTCTTACACTTTGTTTGCATTTTAATCCATTTCACTGGTAAGTGGAGTGTCAATGAACTGACACATAAACAAAGCCATTTAACTGCATCTTTCGCTCTCATTTAACTCCATCTGTGTAACCCATGGTAAAGAGCTTCAGACGTGATTGTACAGTAAAGTGGCCCTAATGGCCTCCCAGCAGTCACCCATGACAGGTTAAAGTCTTGATGGCTGCTTTTATGGTTTTCACCCCCTCTGGAGGGACACAACACCTGTTAAATGGAACTGCCCTCTCCCATATGCGGGCATCCCACCAGCATCATGGCGGGGTTAGGGCCGAGGTTTGACTTCTCGTCAAATAAGATTTAGACTGTCTGGACATCACCACGAGGGGTTGATGGGAAAACACAGCAGAACGTACAAGATATTAATGGATAAGGAAACATATACATGTGGATGTCAGCATGTACTGCTGCACATGTGTGCAGTGAGCAAATGCATGCGTTAGCGTCCCCACAGTGTGCTTTTGCATTAATAACTCAGCGAGTGTGACAAAGACACAGCAGGAGAAACAGAGGAATAGCGGGCTGTGTTTGCCTGGAGGAATTCCAACTTTGCGGGAGAAAACGTATCTGTATTGTATTTCCCTCGACTTTAGAAGTGTTTCATCAGCTTATGTCTCACAAACACATATTCTTGTGTAAAAAGTAACATTTACACGTAGGTTTTTTTTTTTTTTGTCTTCACATTGTTTAACTGTTGAATGCTGTCAGTACTGAGGAATCCAGTAACGTATTGCAGCATTTATTAATATGTAACTGGAGATGTTCTTGTGCAAAAACCCCTCTAATTTACAGCCGATGTTTAATCCAGTGTTTCATCCTGTTTCTGCTCAGCCGGCCAGGCCTGCTGAACGCCAGTGACCCAGGCTACCCCTGGTTAGCGGATTCTTGGCCAGCAACCAGCCTGCCTGTCAACAGCAGCTCTGGGGGACCAAATGATCTGACTAACTTTGGTCGAGGAGGTGAGTGTCCCGGTGCTGTCTCTCCCGCTTTGAAAAAGAGACTGCAAAAGATGAAAGATGATGGCCCTGCCTTCTTTTCTGATTCACCAGAGCCCCTGTTGTTTGTCATCATGTACATATATGCATGCATGATGTATACATATATGCATATTGCACGTGTGTTTAGATATATATTTATATATCACATCAGAGAACAGCTAGAGCATTAACAGCAGGGGCTCCACTGTCACCAGGCTGAGTGATGGCAAACAGTCCAGCCTGGTGTCATAGCCCATACCTCAGAGCAAGAGAATGTGAGGGGAGAGACAGGCAGAGGAGCAGGGGGTGGATGGGTGTTTGAAAGGATGGTCTTGAGCAGCCAGTCGTGAAGGACAGGCGCAGCTTGACTGGCGCAGATGCGGACACTTCCGCCATGGCTCTACATCATCTCCCCTTCACTGGGCATGCAAACCATGCTCTATGGAGAGCTTGCTCTTTCCCTACCTCCCTCTCTCTCTTCCTCCCTCTGTTAACACACACACATGCAGAGCAGCAGCATTATTCCTCGTGTATATGAACAGAGGAGGGAGGGTAGTGAGATATCCAGATGATATGTGAAGGGGAAAACGAGAGGCTAAGGGTTGAAATTCATGAATAACTGGTCGTGTTTTTTTTCCACCAAGCTGAATGTTTGAAGTGTTATTTCTAAGGATTCAAGCTGACCTAAAAGTGCCAAGACCCAGACTGTAATTCCATAATATTTGTGCTCTCGAATCTCAAGTTATACAGTCAGACAGTCCTCGTCTCTTTATCTGCTATAAAAATCTAAATTTCAACACCACAGGGTTACAGGTGAGGTGAGCCATTTTTTGAAAGGCTGCTTTCCTATTAACTCCCTCCCTTCCCCTTCCCCAGATCTCCCCTCTGGACAAGGGGATAAAACGGGCACCATGCTCTCTGATGGAGCCATCTACAGCAGCATAGACTTCACCACCAAAGCCAACTACAACAGCCCCGGCCAAACATCCCAGGCCACTCCCTATGCCACCACTCAGATTCTCCACTCCAGCAGCATCCACGAGCTGGCTGTGGACCTGCCTGAGGCCCAGTGGAAGGCCTCGCTCCAAGCCAAGCAGGAGATGGCCAACCTGGGCTACTCCCTGCCCGACAAGAACTCCTGCAACAACAGTAAGTCCCACTGAGAGAGTAAGTGTTGCAGTTAGTGGGACTATTGTTGCCCGTGTCGCCATATAGAGAACGATAATATGTCAACTGGAGCCATTTGCGTGACATTAAAGACAAAACTTTCTTTGTTTTTCATTATTCAAGCCACAAGTTGGTAACAAGACAGCCCGTTAGAATTTAATCTTTTCCACCAAAAGCCTTTCTAACCCCACTGTGGTTGGAAGAGGTTGTCTTGAAAAAGAGTAGTTTTTTTTCCCCCCGCAGCAGACATCATCTTGGTTTCTCTCCAAGGTTGAATAAACATCTCATGAAGGAGTAGTGTAGTTAAGTGTTCCATTCATTTTCCTGCTGTTTCCTGAGTTTTCTTGATGGTACCACTTCTCCTTCAGCTTCAGAGTAATTGCCAATCCATTTTAGCTTGACTAATATTTAAGAAAATAATCCAAATTAATTACCGTGGATTTGATGCGGGATTTTTTAAAGCCGGCTAGAATTTCATACTTTAGGTGTAATGAGTATTCCTCGGCTGTATTCTAATGCATATTTATGATCTGGTTCTCCAACAGTCTAAAACAGATTAATTATAGTTTTTACATAGTCCCTCTAATGCAATGAATCTTTTAAAACTACTTTTCCAAATCTCCGTGGCATTATTTTAAGAAGTATGATCAAATATGATTATGTATGATTATAACTCTCTGAAGGGGGACAAATATTGAAATAAAATCTCTACTATTGACTCATTTATCTCGTTTCTTAAATTAAGAGGAGTCTTGTGAAAGATTAGAACCATGCTTTTCAAATCAACAACAAATCCAATTTGTCCAGCAAGCGTATTGTCGGTTGCATACATATCAGAAAGTGAATGAAATGTTGAATAAGTGCAGCTTGTCGATTGTATGAATCCTGAATATATCCTGCTTGCTCGGTGCTCTAACTGCATGTCTGCATGTGCTTGTGCTAACTGCCAATCACCTGATGCCACTGTGATTTTTGCCCTTTAACCCCCACTGTAGCCCTCCTTTTCATTCCTGACTACCGATTGGCCGAGGGATTGTCTAATAGAATACCACACAACCAATCACAAGATTTCAGCACCACCAGCTCTCACAACAGCTCAGAGCGAAGCGGCAGTCTCTCAGGTTGGTTTACGCAGCAGAGAATTAAGCAGACTGGGACACTCTGCTCCTCCGCCCAATCTTCTGATTGACTTATGTCTTAATTGTTTTATTAATCTGTTATTTGCATGTACAAACCTGAGATCTAAGGCAGATTTTATTAACACGTTCCCTCTCCCTCACCAGAGATCCTTTGCTCACTCAGCTCCCCCCCTGCTTCCAGCTGTGAATGCTTTATTGTTATTTTTCTTAGTTATACGGGGCTCTGAGTACAACAGCTACTACTGTATGTAGCGATGTTGTAATTTATGATAGGAGCTGACAGCTTATTGGAGCATAAAGAAACAGGACATTAAAGCGAGAAAGAAAGAATAGTCGTATAATCTCCTGACAGAATATGGCTGCAAGTGCGAAGGCTTGGTTTCTGCCGTCACGGTTGGTCCCGGGGAAGGCTTTGTCTGTCACCGTGTGAGTGAGCAGACGGGAGTAGGGGCAGAGGGAGTCTTTCAGACAGAGTGGACTATATACACACACACAGACACCATTAGAGATGCTTGGCTGGGTAAAGTGGCAAAAATACCTCCCTTTTTCCCCTCTTCCCCTAATGGTGGCCGACTACACTAAAACCCATGTTCAGAGAATTACAATGTCATTTATAGGACACCAAGGCAGCCCTCTGCCGGCCTCCCCTCCACTCACCTCTTTTATCTAGTTACAAGCCACTGCCTTAACTGGTCTCTAATTCAATGCTCTGGCACACAGTGGGCTGGAGAGAAGGATGTGAAGTGGCCATGCCTTACAGGCAGATTCTTCCTATAGACTTGCAGGTCACTGAAGGCTCTGGCTGGGCTTGGCACGTGCTGTATTATAATTTCATGAGAAGACAAGACAAGAGATATATTTCTGCTCAACAGTAAATGTAGTGGGTGTCAGAGAATGTGCCTTCAAGAAATGGGTTGACATTTTAGGGGAATATGTTTATTTGCATTCGTGCTAAGAGTTAGATGGGAAGAATAATACAAAGGTAAAACAATCCACCTGGTTCATCGTCCCTCGTTAAACCACAACTTGGCATTTTTATACTTTGGGTTTTGTACTGATTAATCCTCTGAACCCCAAAACCCGCCATCGGGTTTGAAATACATGTTATCTTTTTTTTTTTCTTTTTAATCACCAAAAGTACAGCATTTATCAGAGCTAATAACTGTAAACATGGGAAGAATCGTTGGATTTGAACTTCACAATAATGTGAGACCTGCCGTTCCATCATTAGAAAATCTAAGCATAAAATTGTGACTTTTCATCAAAATCACGTTATTGTATGTTTAGTTTTTTAAATGTATTTATTTATTTTATGTTTTTTAATCAACCAGATTCATTAAAACCTGAATGAACTGCCAGCTGTGTTTACACAAAGCAGATAGGACACAATTATGGAAACAAATTAAAAATATAAATAGTAAAATATCTACAGTATGTAGAGTCACGTTCATCTTCCAGTATTGGTAACACATGTGGGTTAATTAAAGGTTGTGGGGGTTTTTTCTTTAGGATTTACGACATTGTAACTTTGCTATACTGTACAAAAGACATTTCTGAGTTCTCTCTATTTCTATTCATCGCTGTGCTGTTTCTATAGGGATGCAGGACCTCATATTACAGCAAGAAATGAGCCCACTGTGATTAAATTTGTCACAGAAGCATAGAACGGCCAGGCACCGCTTGGGGCTCAGAGGGTTAAAGAAACAGAATATAATGTGTTAATTAGTGACCTTTAGAGGTGCTGGTTGGCAGATTTTCCAGCCATGGACAGATCCAGGCTGCTTGTTTCCTCCTATTTTCATTCTTTATTCGACATAAGCTAACGTCTCCTGGCTGAAGCCTAGAATTTGCATCAGCAGACATTCAGATGATCTTCTTTTTTAACTCTTAGCTCGAAAGCGAGTAGCAGTATTTCCTAAAAGTACTTCATTAAAGCGCTGTAAGTTGAGAAAAAAGAAAGAATATAAATTCTTACATTCAATTTAAAAAATTCACACATGTACTGATGATGCCATACAAGTGAATTCATTTTATAAGAGATATACTGTGTATTGCAACGTATACCAGCGGTTGGAATTTGAAGCAGCACCAGCTAAGCTTTGATTCAGACTTCAACCAAAGTAAACTCAGCATCTGAAGGGGGGAGAAGTTGAAGTTACAGTGCTTTGCTCTCCCTCTAAGGAGATGGAAGGAATAATGAATGTCAGGTCTGAAGGAGGAGAGCGGGATGAAAAGGAACAGAAATAGAGCAGCTTTCATGATAGCATGGATCTCCACTGGGGACATGAAGCTGCTCATTAAAAACGTTTCTTAGTGTAGGGGAGAGAAGGTAACTGGAGTTTTCTGTAGCAGTGAGAGACCCCAAAGACTCTTTGCTCCCCTACACTCACACCCAGCCTGCCTGCCGAGCTACAAAGTCCACGATCCTGTGAAGTCCGCGGCTGTATGTGACCTGTTGTGCTCCCACACTGTCCCTACATGTTACATCTCACCTCATTATGTAACATGTTGTGTATTTTTTGAGCTATAAATGATGATACATGGCTTTTGAGTTACATATTCTCACACTCCTGTGTTATATCTGGCTGTAGAGTCTTTCTGGAGTCTCTGCTCTGTGGCTTTCCCCCTCAGCACTGACGCACCCAATGAAAACAAAGCAAGCTCAAGGCTATGCAGCCCTACAGTTATAGGCTGGGAGTGCCCAAACCTTGGGTATAAATACCCAAAGCTGAATCTATATTTAGTATCAGTTCCCCTTTGAAGAGAGGCCCAGTTTTGTCAGAGGAGATGAGTTCGCTGTGTAATTCCTGTGTAGCTCCTAGCCACAGCGTCTCTCTGTATTTTTCATATTTGGGTTGAGCTGTTGCGATACCAGTGCCAGACCATCCTTCCCTAGAAGAGGCTCATTTACAATATTGATGGCTGGTCTTGTGTAGAGGGACTAAGGATGATTGAACAATCACGTCAGCTCACCATTTATTGGTAAAAGTCAAGCGTCGCCCAGAGGTGCGATTAGGAAACCCAATTACTTTCAGACTATACTTACACTGTGGTGCCGCCTGCCTTGGGCTTACAGTTGTTTCTTTTATTACTTCCATTCTTCATTAATCTTATTCTGACACCTCTTCTATCTCCTCATGCCTGAATTTCCTCTGATGCACCAGGATTATTATTTTTTACCATGCTCATCTCTGAAGTGCTGTTGTTTTTCATGCTGGAAAATACACGTTTTAATAGCAGCATTATCAGCATTTTTTTTGGACTCAGGACAAACTGTACCGTGTTTCCTTTTTTTTTTTCCTCTCCCATCTGGCTTGAAAATCAATAGAAATATACCTCATTGCTTCTGTAAATTTCTTTTGATGACAGTGATATACTCTTTACTGCGCCTGAGTCAAGTTAGTTTATTAGATTACATTAGAGTGCATGATGTTACATTGCACAAGATGCAATACTGGCAGCTTTTTTGGAGCACTGGGAAAAGTGATTACAGGCCTTTGGCAGCAAAGGCTAACCGACAGATGACACATACAAATGCGCTCAACAGAGATTCCCAAAGATGGCTTTCGCTGGTCTGTGTGGTCGGTAACGTCAGCCTGAGGTATTTTCTGGACCGAAATGTGAGGTGTTTACTCCTAAAGAGACATTTACAGTCCACCACAAATTGATTAATAGTTGCAAATACTGTACAGTATGTCTCCGTATAGCTCTTTCATATGCACAAGCTAAGAAACATGAAGAAAAGTAAGACATAAATCAAACCCATTGCTCGAAAATTACTGATGTGATTCAGGGTTGCACAACTTGAAGATTATGTATTAGGCCTGAAGGATATTATGAGGCAAAATTACATGTAGTAAATAAAAATGTAAGTGTATATTTTACATTTTTTTAGCTCTGAATATGACTGCAGCAGGCGTATTGTATGCGCGGAGGTTTTTTATTTGTTAGAATGAAGCTAAAAACTATGAATCAAAAAAATACTACACATCTTTTAGATAAAGTAAGTGGATATTTAGTGTTTCCTTTATTCATGGATGGGAAAAGCTACTTTTATGGCTTCATAAATGTACAAATTCAGTGTCACATGTACCAATCTATACATGGTATGATCAATAGAGCTATACTAAGATCTATTAGGTGTTGTCTTAACTTTGTAGCTGTTTTAATCTCGTCTTTTTTACTCTTAATGTTCATTCCTTTTTTGCTGCAGCACTTGACTGCAGTATCTCTGCTCTGTAGTTTCTGTCAGCTGGTGCTGCTGGGATTTGCATATTATGCAATGAATGCTAACATATTTCTACATGTTTCAGCAAGTAAATAATTACTGCGGGAGGAAGTTGTGGCAAATGAAAAAAGAGAACCATCCAAAAACAGATGTTTCGTGACTCAGTACTTTATTAAAAGCTTTCTGTTTGTGTTTTTTTTATGATTGTATGAGCTCATTTTGCATCAGCACGTCTTAGTCTCCAGGAATATGTGCGCACTGTTTATATAATTCAGCTTGAAAACAAATTTGGACTCGAAGTCAAATGTCTTTAAAGGAAAAGAAGGTTTCTTCCATAGTGACCAAATCATATAAAACTCAGTATTGACCTGGCTGGCAGATTTATAAAGATGGATGGGACAGGGGAGAATCTGGTGTTGGAGGGATATGAGTGGAAATGGATGGGGTTAGCGGCCCTCCAGTGTAATAAAAGAAATGAAAGTAGTAATAGACTCAGTGAATTCCATTAGGGACACACTGACACTACACAAGCCATTCATTATGATGATGCTGTGAAGTGAGATATTTCATTGTGGAGCCCAAAGCCTGGTGTGAAAGGGGACACTGAGGGATGGGTGGAGCGCAAAGGTCTGCCTCAGCCTCGTTTACTGCCGTTCTCCTCTGTTTCTATGGAGATTCGAGTCTTTTCAACCAATCAATCAATGGAAGCATGCTTTTCATCAGGCAACCTTGAGGTTTTCTATGCAAGCGCTGACAGGCGGGAGCCCATTGAAATCCTGTGTGTGAAATTGTGTACAACTTTTCCAAGGGTATGTTGAAACTGAGTCCAAATGGATTTGTAATCTAAGCGGCGTGTTTGGACTAAATTGAGTTTCTTTAGGATGCACATTTGTCACATGGCAAAAGCTGCGACTGTAATTTGCAATGCTACCCCGCTTGTATATTAGTTTTTAATTGATTTTCGCGTTGCAATCTAATTTTCGGTCACTGAATGCATCATCTCCTTTTTGTAGGTGGAAAGGGAGGAAAGAAGAAGAAAACAAAGGCTGGCTCCAAACCTACTAAAGCCAATGGGTCCAACTGGGCCAATGTTCCCCTGCCCCCTCCCCCGGTTCACCCCCTCCCCGGCACTGAAATGGACCATTATCCAAATGAGCACCATGAAGGAGGAGGGTATGTACACCAGCATCATAAACAAACACATTCACATTCTGATGTGAGCAGATAACAACCTTTAAAGTTACACAGCACATACATGATGTCTAACAACTTCTGGTATAAGCCACATTCACTTCCTATAGAAATCTTCTATCTGTTTAGTTTTTGGAAGTAAACAGATGCAAATAATAGTTTTGCATCACACCCATAATGCTGGGTTTGATAGATTATGATTGAGACGGCACTCCGCTGCAGATCGCTCCTCTCCCCACCTACGCAGCAGAGGATCTAGTGTCTTGTTTGCTAGACGCACTGCCGACGTTAGCACCACACATTTCTGTAAGCAATAACAAGGTTAAGCTTTGTTTTCTCTGCTGCTAATCACTGCGCTACTGTACATCTGGAGAGAAGTGAAGAATCGATGTGTGGATCGTCTCCGCAGGCAGCCAGACGCTCACTTACACAGGAGCTCGCACACAAACTCGCATACAGATGGATGCAGATTAAACTATTCGCTGATTCTGTCTTCAATCTATGGGGCTGACTTCAAGACTAGAAAATAGATGAAAAAAACATGTACAGCAGTCTTGGGCTGCTTACTGGGGTTTACATGTGCAGATGGTTTTCAATTGATCTCGTTGCTGGATTCCACAGTGGAAAAAAAATCCTAAAAGTATGGTTTCATAAAGAGAAGATGAGAGTATATACTATGTATGCTCCCGCTAACTGAGTTTTTATAAATGTTTGATGCAATACTGATCTCTTCTTTCTCTTTACACTAATTACATGGCTTCTTTAGATCAGCTGATTCTTTTTAACGTTTCATTTAGCGTGGCGACTCTAACGTTAGCTCAAACACGCTCTACTTAAGGTACGAAGCGGCGGAAGCTTGTTTAAGTGATTGTGAGTGTCTCTCTCTTTGGTCCACTAGGTGCGATGTCCTCTCACTCCCATTTCCAATCTGGGAGAGTCATCTGCTTTAATAGGCTATCTGGCAAATGAAGAGTCCTGCACACTGTAAATCTGAGGCTGCTCTTAATGGCAGCAGATTAAAACAGTTATGTCCTATGGAGTGTGCACTGACAAATTTCTTTAATGAACATTTTCTTTATGGCGAGTATTATTTCAGCATGTATAAGCACAGCTACGAGGAAGTGAAGCCTGACATCCGCTGTAATTCTACTCAGGGCTGTCGTATAACAAATTCTTGCTAAAGTTGGACAAGGTCACAAAGCTCTATGTTCATATATAGCAATTTCTATTAAAATATTTATACTTCTATGCTGTCTGCTTTTCCCCTCCGCCCTCAGTTATCATGACACATGTGTACGCACTGACACGCACCTAATTATGTTTTTGTCTACATACCAGTATACATTTCACAAGTTATTTTCTCAGTAATAAGCAAGAGAGCTGTGGTAAATATACGTGATTCATCATTTTTGGGTGTGGCGGCTTCGACTGTCAAATGTAAATGATCAACAGCTGAAACAATCATATTTCAGTCTGTTGAAAGAAATTAATCAGCAGCTATTTTGATTAATTTGAATCTGTTTTAAACATAAAAAACAAACATTTTCTTATTACATATTGCAAATCTCTGTGTTTTCAGATATTTTGTGGATGATATTATTAATAAATCTTTTTTTTTTTTAATATTTGAAAGTAGAAAATAGTAGATAGTAGTCAGGTAAACAATCTCCCATATTGAAAATTTCAAGATTTGTATCAGGAAGTAAAGCAGTCCTGCTAGTTTTTATTTTTATTTTTTGTAAGCTAGCCATTTTCGTAACCTGTGTGCAAATTCCTCACCAAAACCCTACCCTGCATCACTATTTTGAGAGGACACGCTGCTGCATTCTTCACTTAGCTCTGCCAAATTCGACTGAGATTGGTTTAAAGAACTACAAACAAGCCAGAGCATTTTCTTCCCTTGTAGCAGAATGATAATGATGTTTTGCAGAATGGTGTGGCTGTGCAAGACTTTAAAAATAATTGCTAGTTACAGCCCTGGATCAGACTGAGGATTGGCTAAAGAATTTCACGCTTTCACTGCCAAGATGTCTGACCAGTGCACATAAATTCTTCTGTCAGGTATGAGAGTGACGGCTGGGGCCCGCCCATGCCTGTGCAGACATATCTTCACCAGGGCATGGAGGATGAGCTGGAGGAAGAGGAGGAGAGGGTTCCCACCCCGCCCATCCGAGGGGTGGCCTCTTCTCCAGCTGCCGTGTCCTTTGGGCAGCAGTCCACAGCGACTCTTACCCCCTCTCCTCGAGACGAGATGCAGCCCATGCTCCAGGCACATTTGGATGAGCTGACCAGAGCGTACCAACTGGACATGGCAAAACAGACATGGTAAACATTGCATTAA